GATTAATTTGAGAATACCAACATCGCTCTGGAGTTCCGACAAGATAATCATCAAAATATTGATAATATTTCCTGAATAAATCGGAAAAATCTTATTTTCTATAGCAGTTACTGATTTGCTCATATTATATATTACATATTAATTGCTGTTAAAACTTATTGCTTTCGTAGATATTAGTGAAATTTATTATATAAGAATATACTTATTATATATAACTTTTCATAACATATCTTTTTTCAAACAGATATAAATAAATAAATAAATATATATATATATATATATATATATATATATATATTGGTATAAGTAAAATAAAATAAAATACATTCAAGATACTGAGCAAATACTGAGCAAATCCATAGATCTCAATTCGATTGATCAGATTTTTAAACAAACGAATTGTTACTATATACCGATACAATTGTTATTATTGTGCCGTGGCGCAATTTTGGATTGAAAGTCGAAAACGATCAAGCAAACGTAATTTGATTTACATGGCACATGTTTGCATTTCTCTGATGCATGAATAACATGTACGTATATCATATAGAACAGAGGCAAAAGCAAGATATATAGAGAATATTATTATTTATTTTTCGATTTTAAAGAAATTCAATCTATTGTTAATCTAATTATTTATGTGAAAATAGTTGTTACATGCATCATAAAATGGGAAAATAAATACTAGAAACAGAAAAACTAGTATACTCATGCAATATAGGTTTTAATAGCAAATGTTAAATATAATTATAATGTATTAAGATACCTATATAATATCGTACAAATGCTAGTCAGCAAATAGTCCCTAATAAAAAAGTCCCTAATAAAAAATGTAGACATGAAAAGTGCGCATTTATAATAGATATATATCGCACATATTGCCCCTTTTCCGTATATAATTGCTGGTTGACATAAATATTATGAATTCGATGACAGTTCAGGAATAATTCATACATCGTGAGCGAGATGAGTAATAATTATATCTTTATTTGTGAAATTTATTAATTTAATAGATTTAATAGATTTAATAGATTTAAAATATATTTAAAGATAATGTATGTTTGATTAATGCTGTGATGAATCAAGTGTAGTTAAGTGAATGTTATTGAGTTAGTTCAGCATGAGCAAGATTTATTATAAAGTAATATTTTAAAGTACTTTATTCAGTACTGTTAGTGAGGCAGAGATGCTAAATCAACATATATTATCTTTAGAAAGATTCTGCAACAAGCTAAGCATATTTTTAAACGATTTATTCTGGACACCTTTATTTTACACAACATGCGATTATTACAAGCAATAATCAAATAGAAAACTACACTCAAAATTAAACTTATATTAACAGTTGCTTCTTAATAATTTGGTTACTGGTAATTTAGTTCAATTCTTAATACAATTTTTGTACAGAACTGTTTCAAACACCTATTCAAAATTAAAAGGCGAACATATAATATAAATAGCACATACCTCTTTTAATTCTAATTTCATAGAAAATACATTAATATTTAAAAAGAGCGCAACGAGAGCAATATATTTTATTTTTTTACAATTTAATAATATGAATTCACGGAAAACTTTTTGAATATTTGTTTTGTATTCAAGTTTAAAATTAATGTGAAATCTTATCGAAGAATTACAAGATAATATCGAAAAAAGTTCAATAAATAAAAAACAATAGTACATATTAAGAAAATATAATATTATATGATAATGTGAAATCTTATCGAAGAATTACAAGATAATATCGAAAAAAGTTCAATAAATAAAGAACAATAGTACATATTAAGAAATACAGGAAATATAATATTATATGATATAAAACTTATAAATCGTAGATTTCATCAGTAATATTAATTAAAGAATAAAAATATAGAGATATTTAAACTTAAGGTATTAATAGTTGTTATTGAATTTACAATTTTGTAATTAACAATTCGTGGAATATCTGCTTCTTTAAATGAACGTTATTCCGCTAACACTCATACGTGATTTTGCTTTATAAGATATTGATAAGAACGATGAAATCTATTATCAATTGATAACTCAATTCGATGGTAAGATTAGCAAACGTTACTTTGAATTTGAGTTAAGATTTAGATTTTTAAATTATGTTTATTTGACGAGTCTTCTATTTCTTTTATGCGATAGCCTTTATACAAATAATTACATTAATGCAATCATGTGATTCTGTAGAATGTGTTAGTAGATATCATCAATTACATATATCATGCTACACAAATAATGTTCTTGAACATTTATAATTAAATGCTCAGATTCTAATACATAATTACATTCGTTAAAACAAATTTGTACATTGCGGAATATTTAGCACTTTACTAAATTAAGACAGTCGCATATATATGATATATGAAAAGACGAAATGTATTTATGTATTATCAATGCAATTTCAAAGTAAGTCTTAACTATTGAGAGACATGAAAGGAGAAAATCATGCAAACATGTCGCGCCCATCATTTTATCCATACGAACGTTAGGATAAACCGAACAAACTTTCCCAGGGATTGCTTCTCAATGGGGCAACGTTTCAGGATTGTCACAAGGTATCTACGATAGGTGCTGAAACTTTAAGCTTGCCATCGAGTATAATGGCGTTCGAGCTTCTTCATTATGCAAGCCAATCATGACTGCAACTTCCTTCAAGTCGTTCGTCGTATCAGCCTATCTACATATAACTCTCTATTTATGTGTGTACATGTGTCTTCCTATAATATGTATATATATATATATATATATATATATATATATATATATATCTTATAATGTATATATTTATTATTTATGGTTATATACTATATTGCATTTCTTAAAAAGATCTTATAATACATCTTATAAATGATTTTTTTAAACACTTTCTCGAAATTAAAATATTAAAAAGTAAGATAAAATATGATTTTTTTATTTATTAAAATGACGATTCAAATCGTTTTTCATTAGAACAATGACAGTCATATTTTTTGACAGGCTAAGTTTAATCGATAAGTCTATTCAATTCATTGTATTTATTACAATTAATATCACCTAATTATTATTTATTTCAGTTTCAAAATTTCTTTGATGGTAAAAATTTTGATTTTGAAGACTTTGAAGACTTTCAAAATACATCTAGAACAATTTTTTAACCAAAAAACTAAATTTTGTGAAAAATAGGATATTTAAGCTTCCGAATAATGGTCACATATTATTGAAACAAACGATGGATTATCAAATAAAAATATATCTAAATATATGAATATCGAAAATGCGAAAAAATTTGTTTGCAAAATTTTTGAATTGTAAACCTTTTGAACAGTTTATTATACTTTTTTAGATATTTTATTATATTTTTTTCTGGATACAAAATTTTTCGAAAATTAATCTTAAAGTATTAAATAAAAATTGTTTTGACTAATACGATACGTTTGCATATATTCAATCCCATTAGATTTATATTTAGGCGTTAAATAATTATATTAAAATAATTATATTAAAAATTATATTAAATTAATTATATTAAAAATTGTTCGAAACCAGTTTTTAATATATAAGAGAGGTTTTTATATATTATATATTATATATTATATTGTTCAGATTTGTGATATGAAAATATTAATTTTTTACCTCTGTAGTCATTGATTTTATGTAATTAGTGTTCGTATTTTTCTCTATATACCGTTCCTATAGATAAGCTAGCAGTAAACCTAGGATTAGATAAACTTGGGATATCGCTTAGGCTTCCAATATCAAGATGTATAGAACGTAAGTAAACCTCAACGCAGCCTAAAGGCAAGACATGTAGCCTACGGCAATTACATGCAAATCTCAGCAAGTTGTGCCTAAAACCTCAACATTGTCATCAACTAGCAGCCACCATCACTGAACAAGGAATGTTGCAAGTGCTATTCGCCGATATAAATGGACACATAATGCAACAAATCTAATGTAGAAAAAAATAGATCTTGAAAATTAGATCTTAGAACAAGAATAAAAAAAGATATCAATATAATAATCTTTCAGATTAAAAATTTTAACAATAAACAAAAATTCGTCATTTTTTTATACTTGTTAATCTAAATCATTGTGTGATACTGTATATTTTGAGGGCATGTACTCTCCACGCGTATTTCGCGGTAGGATTGCTTCGCGAAGAAGTGGTCGAGAAAATAATTGTTTCTCTTGATTTTAATTATATTTTATTTCTCCTCGGCTCAGCAGATACAAATTTATAGTCTGAATGACTATACTAACACAGATTTTTTTGGGAATAAAATAAAAGTCTCACTTGCCGCCAAAACAGACTTATGTCAACTCGCACGCAAAGTAATGCTAATATCTATTTGAACGTCGCGCGGAATTATCAAAACTAAATGGACTATGAAAAACATAGAAAGGCTACCGAATAATCATATGTCAAACACTTTACGTACAACTTATAGTTAGATAATTATTTAATATAGATAAATACTCTCTTTTCTTTCTGTTTTTCTTATGAATTAATAGATAGTTGACAATAAACTCAATCAATTAATTATCAATACTAATCGATACTAGTATTTAATATCGCTGCAAAATATAAAAAAAACACAATAAGTATGTTTAGTTTTCATAGATATGAGTATATTCCTATCACATTCTCGTGCTGAACTTGTTATCGTTATTACATGAGTATTATAAACGTATTATCTCGTTAAATTTCCGATCATCGAGGTCGATGTTGATCTACCTTTATCCGTTGTTAATGGCAAATAATATAACACTACGCAATAAAAGCAAGTAGCATGTAGTCTTAATCGGGCATACAGTATAAACATTACCGAACATTTTATAATTAAATTTACTGTAAAATTTCTTTTTGATTATAATAAGTGATCAATACCTTCTTATAATAATATTCATTAAAAGTAGAACTTATATTTTGAACTCGTGTGTGATTATGCATGTATATGTGTGTGGGTGTGTATTCGTTTTATGTATGTAATATTTATCTTATTATCTTACATACGTGTATTATAACGCAAGGTGAGAGATACTCAAACATACATTCTCGTGCTTTCTTACTCATATAAAAATCAATTTTTAGAATTGACTGAATGGATCTATCTTAAGAAATAGTCATGATTTCTTATCGCTTCCTGTTCAGTGCATTTTTATTGATTATTCTTGTCGCTCTAAAACTGGTATTCGCATATAATAATGTGAATATAGAAAAAAATGAAAATTTGAACGAGATTTCCGCACGATATCGACTACCCAAGAATATTATTCCTATATCATATGATTTATCGATTTACACTCATCCCACTGACGCGGATTATGATGGTCACGTACGAATCATTTTACAAATACTGGAAAAAACAGACTCCATCGTTCTGCACACAGATGAATTAATTATACAACCAAATATATCTTTATCGGATAAATCAGGTCAATTGATTCCGATTTTGTATTACGTTTACGATCAAGAAACACAAATGTTTACGATTAAACTAGTCCATGCATTGGAATCTGCAGAATACACAATAGAACTATTCTTTAAAGGATACATCGCAAATGATGTTTTCGGTTTTTACGCAAGTCTATATGAAGTTGAAGGAAAACTTAGGTAATATTTAAATTCTGAAAACTCTTATATACACATATATTTAAGAGAATCGTTATAAGCACGGTAATTTTGAAGAAAAATCGATGCAATTGAAAGTTTTTATAAAAATATTAAGAATATTGAATATGAAATCATTAACATCCTCTTGATTATATATTTACGTAATTATTAATACAATATATATTCTGTGTGTTATACAAGTTAAAATACTAGTCTTCTTAGGAATATTCATGATCTGTCACATTTAATTTCATATATTTCCTATTTATTATTATTGTACATTTATACATTGTATATTTTCTATTATATTTTTTCTATATTCTAATGTATTTTATATCTTATATTATATATAGAGTTAATACCAGTAAAAAAACAATTCTATTTAAAGATTGTTTATAGTGATAAAAACAAATTCTTGAACAATTTGTATATTCGATTCGAAATATATTGCTAAATTCTTTAGACGAATCGGCGTAACTCAGTTTTCACCCACGTATGCACGTCGTGCTTTTCCATGCATGGACGAGCCATATTTAAAAGCAGAATTTCAAGTGCGAATTGGTCATCATAAAGATCAAAATGCGACAAGTAATACTCCAGTGGAATCTATACGAATGAAGTTAGTATATGTAATTTTTCTAATTTATATATAAATAAAATTAAAATAATTTATATAGATATTAAAAGAAAAATATACATATAAAAACATACATACAAAAACGAAAATTAAATTGTTGATACTTATAGAAATGATACTTACTATGTGACCACATTCCGTCGCACGCCGCGAATTTCCACATACTTGGTAGGATGGACAGTGCACAACTTTATCCCGGAACGATCAAGAATTTCAGAGAATTTCAAGATGTGGACAAGAGACTCCATGAAATTTCGCGGATCGATGGCCTTGAATCGCGGCCAGGAAATTTTCTCGGCATTGCAGACATGGTTATCGGTGAAGAGCCCACTCGAAAAAGTCGATCAATTCGCAATACCAGATTTCAATTTTAACGCAATGGAGAATTGGGGTCTCATCACTTATCGTGAATCCGTAGTATTACATGAGGACGGAATCACGCCGACGAAAATAGTGTTGAATGGGTTGACAACGATGGCTCACGAGTACGCTCACACTTGGTTCGGAAATCTGGTGACACCTGAATTCTGGAATGTCGTATGGCTGAAGGAGGGTTTCGCTACATATTTCCAATATTTTGGGGTATCCATAGCGGATCCTAATCTGAAAATGATGAACTTATTCGTAGTAGATTGTCTTCAACCGACATTACTTGCAGATTCTGATGATCATATACGTACATTGAACGGACGAGGAGTCGGAAACCGTAGCAGTATTATGGCTACTTTAGATTTCGTTTCTTATAAAAAAGGTACATATAAATAATCATTATTTTATTTCTATAAATTCTAAGATTCTGAATTCACATTAAAAATGTTTTCGCTTAAATATAATATGTGAAATAATTTTTTACATGAAACATTCTTATAAAAAAGAAAATTCTAAAATACATGACATAAACTGAAAATGTGGATAAGATATGAACTAGTGGATAAGATATGAACTAAAACAAAGACTTATTAAAGTATTTTGAAAACACTCTGTATTCAGTCATCTGATTTTAATTACAAATGCTGTCATTAGTTTCTTACGCAATGTGTTGATTATATCGTCTTATACGTATATAACAATCTCGCAAAACAGATAAAGATATCTGCCAATCATGTGATAATTTCTTTTCACAAATGATCATATTTAAATCATATATGCAGAAAATTGATTATTAGCAAAATTAGTCACTAATATATATCTTTATTATATCACACGACATATATGCTTATTCACATACTTCGTATGAATCGTTCGACTTCGTGTGAAAATGATTATTTCGGTTATCTTTCTAGATTTCGTAATTTCGATTAAAATAGCGATGACGCACGAAATCGCAGAAAAATAAATTTAAAATTAATTATATTAAAAAATCAAATTGACGTATAAAATTGATTTTCTTCTTTTTCTATATAATTAATACTGCAATGAAATATAAAATATTTATTTTTTAAAGCACGCATATTTTATATTTATTTTACATTTTATTATACATTTCAATTTTTTATTAGAAAAAGATTTATTAGAAAAAGATTTAAAATATATAATATTTATTTTACATATATTAATTATATAAAATAAATATTAATATTACACTATCTTATTTTCAGCTGCATCCATAATTCGTATGACCAATCATATCATCGGAAATACAGCTTTTCAATTAGGCTTGCAGAGTTATTTGCACGAAATGTAAGTCTATACGTGCGAAGTATTTTAAATTCTATTAACCATTTTTAATAACAATATACAATTGTAAACGTTCATTATTATTGTAAAAATTGTAATAATCTGATTTATTGAAAATGATATTTATCATTTTATTCTCTCTTTCTCTCTCTCTCTCTCTCTCTCTCTCTCTCTCTCTCTCTCTCTCTCTTTCCTTCCCCTCTTTTGTCGATTCTCTTATTAAGACTACTCTACAAAAATACTCATTTTTATTACCAGGTCATATCAAGCAGTATTTCCATTCGATTTATATCGACACTTGCAGACTGCGTCAGATAAATCAGGACAACTACCCAAGTATCTAGTCGTAAAAGATATCATAGAGTCCTGGGCAAATCAACCGGGATATCCCTTGGTAACAATTACACGAAATTACACCACGAAAATTCTTTTCGCCTCGCAAGAACGATTTTATCTGAGCCACCATGCAACGCAAACGGATAAATCTGGTTGGTGGATACCGTTGACTTTTGTAATTGAAGAATCAAATACCACATTTGATCGAATCAATACTGCAGCATGGTTGGAGCCGCAGGTCAAGAACGCGATAATTGGTTCTTTAGAATCAAACTCATGGGTGATTTTCAACGTTCAGCAAATTGGATATTATAGAGTCAATTATGACGAGAATAACTGGAAGATGCTTATCGATTATCTCAGATCAAAGAACTTTAAAAAAATACACGCAATAAACAGGGCTGCACTTCTAGATGATGCCTTTAATTTAGCTAGAGCCGGTTATGTGAATTATTCCATTCCATTTGATATTGCGACGTATCTTATTCATGAAACCGAGTATGAACCGTGGGTTGCTGCGATAAATAACTTTAATTTTCTCAATCATATTCTCGCTAGCTCGCCGCGAGTACAACAACTTTTTCAGGTAAGCGATTATTTTTTTAAACAATGAATCAGTAATCAATTTTAATTCAATTTAATAATTTGATATAATTTCTAGGTCTATGCAAATCACTTACTTAAATCTATATACCGTTTACTGAGCTTTATCGAAAATCCAACAGATAATTTAATGATAAAATTACATCGTGAATTAATCTTATCAACTGCATGTTCAGTTAACAATATCCACTGTCTAAGGAAATCAAAAATTTTATTTGATTCTTGGATTTCTACATCGGAAAAAAGGTATAGCTGATTACTGACAATTCCGATATATATTATATTGTTTAGAATATTACAATTATTTTGTTATGACGATGAATAGATATTAATATTACAATACTTGGACGTACATAAATAAATAGAATAGTTTTTTAAAATTGTTATACCTTATCTTTTCTATTTTACAGTAAATAATTTTGTAAAGTACACTGCTTTTTAAGAAAATAATTAATTTCTTAAAAAAATTTTTTTTATATAAGATATTTAACATATAAACATAGAATATCAGTTCTTTTAAATTATATTTTATTTTTTCTACATAATAAACATTCTCATATATTTCCTTTCCTCGAAAAAGATAATCGATTAATAACACACTCTTTATAATAATTTCACATATACACAGAATATCAGCAAATCTCAAGAGTTTCGTATATTGTGCGGGCATTCGCGTAAATGATGATAATGATTGGTATACAGTTTGGAATCGATTCCTCTGTACTGATTTACATACAGAACAAGAGCTCTTGCTAAATGCACTTGGATGTACTAAAAATCCACAATTAATCAACAAGTGGGTTTCAATCAGATTATGCATATAAACGTATTTAACATCAAATTTTAAATTTATCGATTTCTAGATATCTTAATATCTCCATAACTTATGAATTCAATGTCCGCAAACAATACAGGATGATGATAAATAACGCTGTTTTGAATGGGAATCCCGAAAATGTGAATTATGTTATCGATTTTATTCACAATAATTTGCATGCAATTCTAAAATTGTATGTATTATTTATTTTTATTTCTTTTATTACATACATAACATATGAATTTATTTGATCAGAATTTGTAATTCGAGAATCGACAAAGTATTATTGTTATTATATATTTATTATATTATTTGTTAAAATGAGATAAATATTTGATTGCGTATATTTATATGAATATAAATTTCCATAAAAATATCAAACTCAATTAAAATCTTTTATTTTATGTTTGCTAATTAATTATAATTTAAAAGAGAAATACATAATAATATATTTTTTACTTATTTCTTCTCGCAATATTAATTGCAATGTTCAAAATCAATTTGGTAATATTTTCTCTTTGTTTTTACAGAAGAGGAATAGATTTCTTAAATAAAATGCTTACTGCTATAGGGAATAAAATTATAACTGAAGTTCAATTAAACAAGGTATTATATATATATATACATATATTTAAACATTAAATTTATTTAAATTTATTTAATATTAAGTTAACATTAAGTTAACATTATTTATTTAATATTAAGTTAACATTAAATGTATATATATATATATATATATATATATATATATATATCCTATTTAATGTATTTAATTGGAAGAGAGGGAGAGAGAGAGAGAGAGAGAGAGAGAGAGAGAGAGAGAGAGAGAGAGAGAGAGAGTGTGTGTGTGTGTGTGTGTGTGTGTGTTTGTGTGTGTGTACATATAACATATTTTATATTATTTTTACTGATGTACTTATTAACATTCACTACTATAACACTAATAACGATAATAACGTGGAAATATAATGTTCATAATATTACAGTTTCGCATTTTTGTTGACGAGAATATAAAAAATCTAGGATCAGCATTGATCTTAGCAAGAAAAGCCATAGCGGTTTCTGAGGCATCCATAACATGGATTAATAAATTTTCACCTGCAATCGAGAAAGCACTATTATTTAATTAATTATTTAAAGTTACATTACGACAGTACATTATACTATACATATAATGTACTGTATAATATACTATATTAAATATAATAGTATACTGTATTACGTAATATATATACACATTGTTATTTGTAATTAAATCTAAATAAATATACGTTTGCACATAACACATAAAAAAATCCTCATGAGATTATACTTAAAAATTATATTTCAAAATTGCATTTTGTATTAATCTGTTGTACCGTTATATATTGTATTAATATGGTAGTTTTCAAAACTGTATTATACTATTAAGTTTATAAAATGTTAACACAATTCTTAAAAAACGAGCGAATAAGAGCCAAACGCGGATGGTAGTGCGTAAATTTCTTAACCATTAATTGTTCGCGAAAATTTTAACGTGCACACGGCATATACACATATATTTTACTTGATGTATATACCAAGATAAATTCTCTTTTTTGAGAATTCTATAAAACCCTCTTTACTTCCCTGAAGAAATGTAGACAAGAAAAATATCGGAGCGAAGTCGCTGAAGTCCGCGTTTGGCTTTTATTCGCTCGTTTTTTAAGTATCGTATTATTAATTACATAGAGCCGAATTCTTTATCAATTTATTATAAAATGTTATTTCATAAAAAATTCAAATATAATTATATATTATAAAGTACAGTACTTTAAAAATTATTTATTATTTATAAAACATAAGACGTAAAGATTATTTATTACTTATCAAGATGTAATATGTGATAACATCCCGCATATAAAGTATATAGTATCAAGTATATATAATTAGAATAATTTGAATTAATGTTTAGATATATTAGACTTCAATAAAGCAAATTTATTAAATTTTATTTAGGAATATTTACTCAACAATTTTAGTGAACATATAAGCATTCGTAAACTTTAAATAATAAAAGAGAAGATTATTAAATATTATTAAATATTAAATATTATTTAATTATTATTATTAAATATTATTTATTTATTAAATATTATTAAATATTATTTAAGATTTAATCTGATATCAATTATCATGATTTGAAATCAATTATTTGTGCATGAAACAAAAAATGTATTACATAAATTGATTACTTAAACACAATTATCAAGAGTTATATCTAATCAATTATCAATCAATTATCATTACTATATAATTGTTTCATTTTCTCATTTTTTTTATATAGAATTGATAAACATTTATACAAACATCACATATATATCTCTAAATCTTTTTTTGTTATTTATAATTATTATTTTTGATATGTCAATTTATGTACTTGTTTGCACGTTGTTTGCGTCTTTTTTATATATTTTATACTTTGATCAAAATTTTTAAATATAATTACAAAAATTTGTTTTTATAAATTTTTTTATACACTTTTTGTCTTACACATAAAGTATAATTCTATCAACAAATTTTTTTATTTATATTTGTGTTTTAATACTATAGAGAGATACATACACATATAACGCAACAAAACTTTTATTCTAGAATATTGTAGAATATTCTGTGAATCTGAATTACATTGTTTACTGTGTTGATGAGCCTGGATTTATCAATTTTTTCTCCTTTTACAAAAATATATCATAGATAATGATTAAAAATTTGTAAGAAATCTTATTACATGCGAATATTTGAGAATGTTTTATATACATATGTAATTAATAAAATTAACAAACTGTATTTAATAAATTAATAAACTTAAGAAGAATCATAATTTTATGTCATTAATATTGACTATAATTGGCTATAATTGGCTATAATTGACTATAATTGACTATAAGCTATAATTATAATTACATTTTAAGTTTACGAATAAAAAATTATTATTATAATTAGAAGAAAGAGTTTTCGAAAATACTAATAATCTATTTTGCAATCTACAATAAAATAGAATTTTCATAAATTATTCCAATTCTTGATTAAATATTAGTACTAGTCATATCAATGCTGGAGAGATTTTGAAACAAATTATTTTAATTTCTCATAATACACATAATTATTTTAATTTCTCTAATAGTAAGATTGAAAATTAAAAGGTCTCATTATTTAATTAATCTTCAGATTGTGCATTTCTTATCTTAATGTTGCTATATAATAGCCAAGAAATTGAACTTTTCGCCTTTTATATTTTTTTTCACGATTTGATTCCAAAATTTCACATTTTATCGCGTTTTACCTATTTTCCATTATTTTGACTTAAATTCTAGTTGAAACGAAATATCGACCCTTATTACTCATAATTTGTCACACTGAAGAGGGTCCGAAAGGGATCGAAACGTTTGATTTTTCAAAAATTATAGACTTTTTTAAAAGTTATTGAATTTTTTGTCACTCATTATCACTTGCGCTTTACTTAGTCTAAAATAGCCTACTTTATTATTATTATTATTGAAAACTAAAATAAATTTTTTGTTTCTAAAATTTGAATATATGAAAAAATATGAATCAAAAGAGATATCGATAGCGATTATTTTATAAGGCAACGCTTCCAGTTCGATTCAGTTTGTACAATGCGCGATTCGTTTCGTGAAGCCTCTTGCAAGGAGAACGAATCGCTATCGCGGACTATATTATATGCTATAGTTTAATGCCGATGCTTTCTGCATTTATTGTTAAATATGTGCCCAAATAGAATAATATGAAAATCAGGCAAAAAACGAAATTTTGCGATTTGAGATGAAATTCACGATTTGAGAGCGATTTCGCGTTTTGTAGCGGCATAAAATCTTGCTCAAAAGATGTTGGCATGCATAAAAATAGAAATACAACTTCAATCTGTCATATTTTGATGAAATTCGCGTTTTTGCTTAATGCGAAAAGTTTAGTTCCCTGATAATAGCTTTTCAAACATCAAAAATCTCATTGAAGAAAAAAGATATTAAAAAATATTCAAAGTTTTCTTTTTCAAATTAACATAAACTTTTTTACTTATATTAAAGAAAATTTATTTATAATACAAGAACAGGAAATTTTATAATAATTTTACAAGTTTATAATGAATCAATGCGACGTTTAGCTTCAGCAATATCGATACTTTTCACGAGATGTACGATAAAAAGTAGGATTTCTCTGTGATATCTCTGACCTGGCTTGGCATTGATTGGCTGGATAACAATGTATTTAAGTTATCGCATTATCAGCGTTGTCAATGTTCAAACTGTCCAGGAAATTTTGCGAGGTGAGTTCGGAATAGCCTATTTAGCGATCATACCCCAACGAGTATAATACCTACTGCTCCGACTGTCGTGATAAGATAAAAAAAGGCAGCGATTTTTTTTGCGATATGTCTTACTGCCATTGCCTTATAAGGCGCCAAATTTTGGCTTGACAGTCTTTCAATAAAATCTTGCCTCTGCGGGGACGTAGCATTGACCCGCACGGCTCTTCATCTTTAATTAGTTTTGAGGTACGTTATTTTAATCTTATTAAAATCGAAAAATTCAGTTTGTGTAAAAAGATTGATCTTATTGCAAAAGAAGCGAAATGTGTGTATATGAAATTTTTTATATTATACAACGATTTGTGTGTGACTTTTCGTAGCAATCTGCGATTATGTGTGTGTGCAGTGTCATTTTTATCAATTTATTAGCAAATTATATCTAGCATACATCATATTTATGATTTAACATAATACATTATTGGAAATAATATTCTAATAATTTGATTCGTAAAAATTAAAGTAGATGAAAATAAAAAATCAAATTTATTTTTTTAGAACACACACAATAGAGTTTATTTTTTTTAAATAAATAATAAATATAAAAATAACATTTTTTCTATTAATAAAACTTATAGTATGAATAGATGTTTTTTAAAGAGTTGTGTATATTTTGTGTATATATAATTATTTGTGTATATATAATTTAGATTTATATCAGTTAAAATATATACACAACGTTTCCTTTTTTTAAATGTTTTTTTTCTTCTTTCATTTTGTTAATTTCTTATTTAAAGTAAAACAGAATTATTAAGTTATCATTAATAAGTTTCGAGAATCTCACTTATTATATGAATATTTATTCAAATGATTTCCGGAAATCAATGAAGATTATACTTCTCTTTTATATTATTACATCAAAACGTCAATACTATGTACGTTTATTATTATTTATTCACATCTTTTAATTATAATAACAGGTTGGATCGTACAAAATTTATCCATTTATAGCAAATATTAATGATGAGATATCTGCTGCCATTGATTCTTGTCCTGGCAACTTGCTGGGCAGGCATTCCTATTCCTGAAAGTGTAAATCCCCAACCAATTCAGGAAATTCTAGACGACTACAGATTACCGAAGGATGTCATACCCACTAATTATGTCATCGAATTAACACCATATCTAGACACAAAGGATAAAAAGAACTTTACTTTCGATGGACATTCTGAAATCGATCTGGAAATTGAGAAAAATACTAAAACTATAACATTTCATGCTAATAAACTTAACATAACCGACATTAAGTTAAACTATTCTAAGAATGAGGAACCAATAAATATTTTAAATACAGAAATAAACGAACAAAAGGATTTCGTAACACTCAATTTAGAGAAAGAACTTAATTCTACATTAAAAAATATAAGATTAATTTTAAATTTTACTGGAGTGTTAAACGATAATTTACGTGGATTTTATAGAAGTTCTTATCAAGACGGAAACGAAACAAGGTAAGATAATAATTATATACAAAAACTCCTACTTAAATCTTCTTTAAGATTAATATTCTTTTAAATTTACATATATAATTTATATATATACATATATATATATATATATATAATATAATATAGTTTATATATACTATATCTAAATTCAGAAGATAATGATTTCAAACAAATGTTGTGTTACCAATTCTAGTTTAAATATTTTCTTTTTATATAGATTTTTCTAAAAACCTTTCGTCATAGAAACCGGATGATGAATCCTATTTGTATTTATATTTGTAGGACAATATTAATTCAAATCTTTATTAATAAATTAAGATTAAAATAAATGTTTCCTTTGAAATAAATAATTTTGTTTTAATAGACACATGCATATGAAATAAAATAGAAAATTATCTTTTTATAATAATGCAAACATCTATATGTTACAGATGGCTCGCAACAACTCACTTCGAGCCAGTAGCCGCGAGACAAGCATTTCCATGTTGGGATGAGCCTGCATTAAAAGCAACTTTTAACATTATTATCAATTATTCCACAAATAAGAATTACCACGCACTCTCGAATATGCTTGGGAACGAAAAAAATGGAACGACGACTTTTTCGCAAACACAAAATATGTCCACCTATCTCGTGGCCTTTGTAGTTTCAGATTACAAAAACAACACAAATAAAGAAGAAAACCTTAGTGTTTGGACAAGACCCAACGCAATCAACAGCACAAATTTTTCACTCGAAATCGGGCAAGAAACATTGAAAGTATTATATAATTTCACTGGCATCGATTATTACACAAAAAATATTCCAGGAATAAAGATGGATCAAATTTCAATCCCAGATTTTGCAGCTGGTGCTATGGAAAATTGGGGTCTTGTGACTTACAGGTAATATTGGTCAAAGATTATTAATTGGAAATATCAAATGCTTAAATGCAATTTACGCATTAGTACAAAGTCCATAAGTGTTTCATCTTAATTGAACGTGCAAATTTCAACAGCTTATCTTATCGATCTTTCAATCTTATCATATTAAAGTACGCTTATCAATTCTGTATAGGATATAAAAATTTTCATTGTACAATTTTTATATTTTTCTAAACAAATATGTCAATTATTTTATATATTATATGGTTTTTATTTACATTCTCGTAAATTTTAATATCATTATGAACTTATCTTACTAGTGCATCAAAAATAATCTGTTTCTTGCTGTTTCTTTTTAAGAGAGTCTGGACTGCTTTATACTGAAGGCAAATCAACTACTCAAGACAAACAAGCTATAGCGAAAGTGATAGCTCACGAATTCGCTCATCAATGGTTCGGTGATTTAGTGACTTGCGATTGGTGGGATTATATCTGGCTAAACGAAGGATTTGCCACCTTCTTTGAATATTATACAACCGAACAAGTTGTTCAAAACTTGGTAAGTATAAATATTATATATATATATATATATATATATATATATATATATATATAATTGAATTATAGTAATAATAAAAATTTAATGTGCACTATAAAAATTCTGGATAGATTCTCAATTGAAGTAATGTAATTAATATTAAGAAAATATTGATATTAACATGTTTATATTAATAAAAGATAATAATTTATCTTTTATGTCAACCATAATTTATATCAACATTATAATCGATTTATTTTACACTGCTTTGCAAAATCCTTTAAAGAGAGAAATGTTAGCAAAAAAAGAAGCATCATAAGATTATAAAAGTGTAATAGAGAGACAGTGAAACTGCTAACTAATTTAATTAATGTTATTCTAAATTGCAGTATAATCAGTCCTGGCGTCTTATGGATCAATTTGTTATCAAGAATCTACAAGCATCTGCATTCGTTACCGATGCAACTATTAAAACTCGTCCATTAAATCCTGATGTTAGTGTGAAAACTCCTGCTCAAATCAATAGTTTGTTTGATGATATTGCTTATAAAAAAGGTAAGAGAGCTTTTTATTTTATATTCAGTAATAAAAATAAAAATAATAATTGTTATTCTAATTTATTTCATTCATTTTTACAGGCGGTTCTATTCTCCGGATGTTACAACAATTTTTGACAGAAGATATCTTTCAAAAAGGACTTCGTCAATATCTGAATACAAAGTAAGTCATACATTATGATATATTATACATTCTTAATAATAAAAAAGACGTTTTTAAATATGTATATTTACATTTACATTATATAAAATTATAATTATTTTTAATAATTACATATATTTGTGTATTAATTGAATACAGTCTTATGTGCTGCACTTTTGAATTATCTTATTATTTATTTTCTATAACCATCACATGTCAAAATATATTTAAATTTAACTAATTTAAATTTAAATTTAGTTATTAATGTAAAGCTATTAAATAATCTTATAATAATTAATTATAATAATTAATAATATTATAATAATTTTTTAAATTTTGTAGTCAATTTAAATCTGTTACACCCCCTCAACTCTTTGAAGCCTTCGTTGATGAAAAAATTGACAAAATTTTACCGAATAATACTTCACTTATGGACGTTATGGACAGTTGGTTGAACAAATCTGGATATCCTGTTGTCACGGTTAGCAAAATCTCAGAATCTAAATTTAATCTGACACAAGAGCGATTTTTCCTGGTGAAACCAATGAAGAAGGATACAACTCAATGGTACATACCCATAACCTATGTCGAAGAAAAAGCACTCAATGACATACAATCAGGCTGGATGATACCTGAAAAACCTACAATTGTTACAATCAATAACGTTTCAAACTGGATTCTTTTCAATAAAAATCAAACAGGTACGCATGAATTGATATACCACTGTTCAATCTTTACCTTTAGTACAACATATAATATTGTTAATTACATTGATTCAATTCTTCTAATAACTGATATAATTGTGATTATTCTATTATATGTATATTATCTTTATAAAAACCAAAGAATATATAAAAATTATGATAAAGGGTGATGCATATTCTCGTAATTGTAAAAATAGTTTGTATTATATATCCGTTGCTTTAAAATACATAAAAACAGATGTTTTTGTATATTTTATGCACTAAAAAATATATTTTAATCATTTAACAAAACATTTGATGTACGTACTTTAACATTGCCATTATCATTAATATTAATATTTCGTGGAATAATAAAATTGAATGAAATGTGTGACAATAAAGTATAAAAAGAAATAATATGATTTATTCAAATTATTATATATCACAAGATTATTTTGATAATCATTGTCATGAAATAACGTAGATAAATTTATGATGTAAACAATAAAAAACATTGCTATGAAAAAATGTATGATAATATTATTTTGTAGGATATTATCGCGTGAATTACGATGAGGAAAATTGGAAAAAAATCGTGAGCGGATATACGATTAAATATAAGCAGTACTAATCGTGCCCAATTGATTGACGATGCATTAAATCTAGCGCGAACGGGATATTTGTCGTATAATGTCTCTTTACAGATTACAACTTATCTGTCAAAAGAGACCGACTACATACCATGGTATGCGGCTGTTAGGGCATTTGATTATCTGGACGGTGTATTACACGGTTCGAATTTTTCTAACTCGTTCCATGTAAGTTCCATGTAAATATGAAGAAATACGCTCTCATTGGTCTTACATTCTCGTTTGCCTTATAAATCTTAATAATGCAAGAAAAATATATTTGTGAGCGCGCGCTCTCTCTATCTCTTTCTCTCTTTCTCTCTCTCTCTCTCTCTCTCTCTCTCTCTCTCTCTCTCTCTCTTCTCCTAATACGCTACTGAATTTCAGATTTTTGTTGCTAAAAACATAGCAAATTTCACAAAAGCAGTTAATTACACGAACCCCGAAGGTGAGCATGTAGAGAAATTAGGTAAAGTACTAGCATTAGATATTGCTTGTAAATACGGAATGAAAAACTGCGAGAATTTCGCTCAAGGAAAACTTAACGAATGGTTAGAAGAAAAGGAAAAGTAAGTGTAAATATTTAGAATAATTTTGTTTCGTAAATCTATAATTACGATTGCTATAAGTAACAATGTATGTTTTCATTGCAAAGTCACTGTACAAACATAAACTGCAAATTATTATTATCTAATGATGCATTTTTTTAATATACAATATGTATATTTTCTTCCGATGCAATTGTACAGAAGAATCTATGAATTTACAAATTCTCTATTGCAAATATTATGTGACTAAATATATGTATAATTGTGATCATGACTAATTACGAATTTATAGACTCTCACCAGACTTGAAAAATGGAATTATTTGTGCTGGATTGCGAAAAGGGAACGAGGAAACATGGAAAAAGATTATAGAAAAGTATAAAAAAAATAAAGAAGAACAGCCGAACATTCTTGCTGGCCTTGGTTGCGCATCCAAAGACATTGCAAATAAATTCCTCAATTCAACTATTGAAAAAGACCCCATAATAGATATTTTTTCTGCAATGAATACGATAGTTGAAAGAAATGCTGAGGCTTTTGAGATTCTTCTAGATTTCATTAATGCACACATCAAAGAAATCCAAAAAGCGTAAGTTGTTTTCTGTTACTTAATTTGATAATACAATATTATAAACACAAAAATTAGATATAATGTATAATGTATAATGGTTTCTTTTTACAGGGATAAGGATAATACGAAACTTCCAACTTTCTTTAATAAACTTGCCAATAAAGTTTCGTCTTTTGAACAATATATAAAGGTAAAATATCATCCTTATAATCTATTACGTTTTCTTAACAGATAATTAGCTTAACATATAACATATATTTTTTGGAAAAACTTAATCTATTATTTTAAATTTAATAATTGCATTAGACATACACTACATTATATAATATGAATTAATTTTTATTATATTTACAATATAATTTAACTAATCTTATATCTAGAACTAACATTGGGAAATGGTTCTTTTATGTCAGAATTTTATATTGTCTTCAATTTGAACTGTTTTTTAAAGTTACATGTGCCATATGTGAATATTAGAACGCGATAATATATCTTTTGTGTAAATAAATTTCAGTAATTAGAACTTACGAGAAGTTCCATTTCTATCTTATCCTTGATCGCGCTTGTATCTTATCTAAGAGTGGATTGATTAGATATTTCACAATTTCACTAAATATTGCATCTCTAACATATAGCACTAATTACGCACCATCTTACAAATTCAATAACATCGATATTGATAGGTCTACAAGTTTTTTATATAAAAATATTTTTACATTTCAGCTATCAGAAGCCGTATACGAACATTTGGGAGATTTCGAAAAGTTTACAGGATGGGATAGTGCATTAGAAAATCTTGCTTGGATTAAATCCTATCAAGAAGAAGTTGGGAAATTTATCGAGGAAAATATTAAGGAGCAAGACTCAACAACAACAAGTTCTGCAACTTCCTTTACTTTGGCATCGTTCCTTGTGATTATCCCATTACTACTCGCACGATTCAACTAGAAATACATAGAAAAAAACATAGTATACTTTGCACAATTCATTATGGTATTAATGTCTCTAATCGATTCAGTTATATACAATCATAATATCTCAAATCGATGCCATGTAATGTCATTTTTTTCAACTTCTAATATTGAAACAATGATGTGTTCATTGTTGAGTCATTCTTGCACTTGATTTCGTAAACGAAAAAAAATGAAATGTACCACTATATATTTTGTATTATATATTATCTCCCCCACTAGATATTTTGTATTATATATTATCTCGTCATATTAATTAAAATTTTAAGTTATCATTATATGAAAGACTATTATAATTTATGATATATGAAAGATATGTTTTTGCGACAATTCTGCTAAGTTTCACCACAATAGATATCACAATAGTTATAGTTAAATTATAAAAAATTCAAACACAGATTTTTATTTTATGTACGAAAAAATAACACCAGTTAATTGAGAAATATATAATATAAATATATAAATGTGTGCATAATTATGTAAATATCTTGCATATGCTGATTATTATTTATACACTTATATAATAAGTTTTACATAATTTATAGTTATTTATAATTGAAATAAAAAGAAAAAAAACGAAAAGAGAAAAAAATAGTTACGTTTTTGTCAAATTTTAATAGATATAAAATCGAATTAAAATATCTAAAGCGAACATTTTCATGAGATATTATTTGAATTTAATCAAGAAATATTGCAATACCTCGATTGATTGTCACATACACTTTATACTGTTGTAATTTAATTTCAAACTGTTTCTAATATAACTTTAATTTAATAAAAGATCATTTTTTATTTGTTGTTTATTACTTTGAAAGATAAACGCACATATCTCTGATATAAAATACAATTTTTATTATTACGTAATAATTATAAAATTATATTTATACAACTATTTTACATAAAATACATTGAATATCTTTAAAATAGTAAATAGTAATAAATAAGTTGAAATAAAAACTTAGTTGTGTTAGAGATAATGATAAAAACTTAACATATATTTTGTACGCTATTAATATTTGTAATATTAACAGCAGTTATAAAATATATTAAGTGGTTTTTATCATTATTTCTAACACAAATAACAGCGCATATATAATTCACTCATACTCTGCCGTTTCATAATACAAGAAGCAGAGGCCAATAATATAAATTATTTATATGATAGGCACGTTTAAAATACAATGGATGATCGTCAAGAATCCAACAGTTATATCAAGTATACAAGGAATGTCACAAATGATTAGATTCATTTCGTCAGATTCGATTCGCTTCGTAAGTCGAAGTAGTTTATTATCGAATAGTAAAGCGAGTTAGTTATCTAACAATAAGTGTGAAACTGTTGCAACATTTCGCGATTCGATCTTGAGGATTATTCGTGCAAATATACAGATAGCATGAAGGTAATATTAATCAGATATACATTAATAACAAAAAGTTGATTGCAGTGTCAGCGAAAATTATATCTCACCAACATTTTGCCACGCTTTCAACGTTCGAATTATCACAAATTCAGTTTCAAATATTAATATAAGAAATATTCTTTGTTATGTACACGACAATATCAATAAGCGCTAGAGAGAGAAAGAGAGAAAGAAATTTTGTATCATATAACTATAAAAAAGGAAAATATATTGTCATAAATATCAATTAAATTGAAACAAAATCGTGGTGTAATATATATATATATATATATATATATATATATATATATATATACACACACACATATATATATATATATATATATACACACATATACAGATGTATAGACATTGTATACATTTAAAATATATGTATATACCGGGTGTTTCAGACCACCCGTACACCCCATTTTAAAGCAAAGGAAGTGGTTATTTTGAAAAATGTTTCAGACAAAAGTTGTTGAAGATAAAGTAATGCATTACATGGGTAAATTTGATTGACCTTGGGTGGCGTCGTGAAGGTCATGTCAAGGTCGACTTGAATTTTTTAAATGGGAACCCCTATTTTTCATTGCATATTCTTGTAGCTTATCTCGAGAGCTTTCCAAAACACTATAATTAAGTACCTTTTTATTAAGTACTTTTTGAGTTATAAGGCTTGAAATAATTTCTTAATTTTATATAAACCATAAAATATCTAGTAAACCATTCATTTTTCGATTATCTTACCTTCATACTTTTATGTACAAAATAATGAGAGGAATCAATTGGTGTAAAGAAAACATACAGTTGTTTTTAAGAAAAAATATGGAATTGTTAATTGCAAATTACATATTTTTTCTTAGAAACAACTATGTGTTTTCTTTACACCAATTGATTCCTCTCATTATTTGTACATAAAAGTATGAAGGTAAGATAATCGAAAAATGAATGGTTTACTAGATATTTTATGGTTTATATAAAATTAAGAAATTATTTCAAGCCTATAACTCCAAAAGTACTTAATAAAAAGAACTTATTATAGTGTTTTGGAAAGCTCTCGAATAAGCTACAAGAATATGCAATGAAAATAGGGGTTCCATTTAAAAAATTCAAGTCGACCTTGACTGACCTTGACGACGCCACCCAAGGTCAATCAAATTACCAGTAATGATTACTTACTTCAACAACTTTTGTTGAAACATTTTCAAATAACCATTTTTGCTAAATGGGGTTACACTTTTGTAACCCTGTATATATATTTTTTTTTCTGTTATTAAAAAATATTAAAATTATTTTACAGGTTTTAATTTATTTAGAAGATCTATATACTGATTCTATCAGTTTGACCTTGGATGGCGTCGTCAAGGTCAGGTCAAGGTCACATTGACTTTTTAAATGACACCCCTACATTTGATTGCATATTCTTATAGCTTAATTCAAGCTTTCCAAAACACTATAATAATGTTCATTTTTATTAAGTACTTGCGAGTTATGAGGTTGAAATAATTTCTTAATTTTACATAAACCATAAATATCTAGTAAACCATTCATTTTTCGATTATCTTACCTTCATACTTTTATGTACAAAATAATGAAAGGAATCAATTGGTGTAAAGAAAACATACAGTTGTTTTTAAGAAAAAATATGGAATTGTTAATTGCAAATTACATATTTTTTCTTAGAAACAACTATGTGTTTTCTTTACACCAATTGATTCCTCTCATTAATTTGTACATAAAAGTATGAAGGTAAGATAATCGAAAAATGAATGGTTTACTAGATATTTTATGGTTTATGTAAAATTAAGAAATTATTTCAACCCTCATAACTCGCAAAGTACTTAATAAAAATGAACATTATTATAGTGTTTTGGAAAGCTCTTGAATTAAGCTATAAGAATATGCAATCAAATGTAGGGGGTGTCATTTAAAAAAGTCAATGTGACCTTGACCTGACCTTGACGACGCCATCCAAGGTCAAACTGATAGAATCAGTATATAGATCTTCTTAAACCCTACAACTTTTGTTGGAAACACTTTTCTGTAAAACGTATATTTTCCGAGATATTTAGGGGTTTCCACACTTTTGGTAGACCCTGTATATATATTTTTTTTTTCTGTTTATTTATTAAAAATATTAAATTTTATTTTACCTTTTTTATATTTTTTTTTTATTTAGAAATTAGGATCGTTCAAAATTTCAAAAAAATATGTGACACTGGCTTCGCTTGGTTTGCCACATCCTGGTTGCACATACATTATGCTGAAACGGATATAGACGTAGATTATTTAATATATACATAAAAAATCCACTTTCTATTGAAAGGATTGACGGAATGCATTACATGCATCATAATTTTGTAAATTATTCCTTCAATTATTTTTCGATTATTGATTTAATCGCGATCTAAATTACAAAATCGAGACGAAGACAATGACATAAACGCGCTTTATTTATTGTTTAATATCACCAAAAGATTATTTTCATCTTTAACAAAGCGACATGTTATATTAATAATATAACATGTCGCTTTGTTAAAGCTGAAAATAATCTTTTGGCGATATTAAACAATAAATACTTTTAATTCTTTTGAGTTCATTGATATTTTGAAATACATCCGGATTAAATAACATTATAAATAATAATAGAATTAAATAGTAATAAAGATACACAAAAATGTAATTCACACAGTTTGAATTTTATCATAGATAAAATAACAATCAGATGTATATATAAAAAGTCACTCGATTCCCGGTTGGAAAATTTTGTTTGTGTCGCAATCAAATAATTCTATAAATAGATTTTTCATATAATTATATACTTTCATATAATTATATAATTATATACTTATGAATTACATTATATACTGTCGAATAAAAAAAGGTTTTTATTTAATATATTTGCGCGATTATTATAAACTGATCTACCATACCAGTTTATCGATCTTTTTATTGCAAACAGTCATAATAGCTGCACAAGATTTATATTATTTTTTATTCACACAATATATATCTCTCTCTCGAAATGCACTTAATGTGATGATAAAAAAATTGCAATTGAAATTGCAATTTGTATTATTTTTCTTATGAAAATGTTTGTGCAGATATTTGAAAGGAGAATTGGCATGGCGATTCTGAAATTATTTATGAATGTTGGTCTAATATTTACTGCTACAGCAGCTCTTCCTGTTGACGCAGATTCGAGCAATGATACACATGTGATTAATTACCGTTTACCAGACAATGTAGCTCCGATGCATTACAATATTAAGTTAATACCATATATTGAGGAAGGTAACTTTACCTTTGATGGAGAATCTGCCATCAATATCACTATTCGTCATGTAACGCAAAACTTGAGTTTACATACACTGGAATTGACAATCGATGACGCAGCGACATCGTTATTCGACAAAGATGGCATTGTCCATATGCCGACAACGTACAGTTACGATTTTATTACACATATTTTAGTACTTTATTTTGATCATGAACTATCACCTGGAAATTACACTTTAAAGATGCGATATGTCGGTATCTTGAACGACGACTTACATGGCTTTTTCAGGGTATCTTATGTTAATGAAGAAGGAAATCTAGAGTAAGTAAATATTAATCTTTGATAAATCTTTCTAATATTATATGTATTGTTATTTTAACATTATTTATTATTATTATTTATTTGTTACTTTTGCCATTATCGCTATAATATGTTAAGATCTTTAACTCATATTAAAATATTTATATTAAATATTTATATTAAAATATTATATGTTAAGATCTTTAACTTATATTAAAATATATATGATTTAATAAATAAAATTGCTTGATGTCATAATTTGGTAATTTGGTATATAAATATTTTAGACATATATCTATATAATATTACGCATGTCTCTTACAAAGTAGCAATATTTCCTTACATTTTTCGTAAAATTTTCGCCTAAAATACTTTGATTAAACTTTTAATTAAAAAAATAATTTGTGAGATCATACATTGCATAGGTGTGTTTAATTATTGTAACAAAAAAATATTAAAAATTTTTTCATGAAGCGCATTTTGGGAAATTTTATCACTTTATTCGATTATTGATAATATGTCATGTTCAGACTTTACAAAAGTGTCACATTATTATCCAAACATGAGTCATAAATCACATTTACGTGTTTTTACACTTAAGTATTTCACTTATTTTCTTTTATAATAACAGAAAATTTATCATTATCAAAAGCGTATCATTGAAATGTGGTAGGTGGTTGGCCGCATCACATTTCGAAGCGACTTGGGCGCGACAAGCGTTTCCATGTTGGGACGAACCGGCACTAAAAGCCACTTTTGATATCTCCATAAAACATCATCGAAATTATACGGCTCTATCAAATATGCCAATACGGAAACAATCGGATGACGGCAACGAAAACGGCATGGTGTGGACGTACTTTCACACGACTCCTATCATGTCTACCTATCTCGTAGCGTTCGTAGTGGCTGATTACGTTCGTGTTCCTAATAAAGATGGGACTGTCAATATGTGGTGCAGATCGACATTGGCGCCGTACACAAAATTTGCTCAAGAAGTTGCCCAAAAATCTGGACAGTTATTGACAGAATATACCAACAGCACCGATAAAGTTCCAAAAATGGATCATGTAGCGGTCCCGAAATTCGCAGCTGGTGCCATGGAAAATTGGGGACTTATTATCTATGTGTAATACATGTTATCTACATGTAATTTAAGAAAAACATCAATAGAATAATGCGTATGTCTGTACCAGATATCTTGCGTTACATAAATTGAAAATTCTTTTTTTATTTTCGTAAAATTATTAATTCTATATTGTTTCACGGTGGATATTATAAGTGTAGATTTTGCGAAATAATAGATATTGATTTTACTGATTGAAAATCATAACTATTATTTTGTTTCATTATTTTAAAATAATTTTATTTTAAAATAATTTTATTTTAAAAATTATTCTTTTTTTGTAAAAAAGCAGTTTTAAAAAATGTTGATTATTTAAACAATTTTAGATTGAAGTTAAATCAAAGTTAAATTTCTTTCTATTGAATAATTTTACAAAATATAGAATATGCGTAAGAAAGAATAAAAATATAATTGAGTTACACTTTAGATTATGCAAAAAGTAGAAAAAGATAATTTTAAAATACAAAAAAATTATATATATATATATATATATATATATATATATGTATATATATACACATCAAAAGCACTAATACTATTGATTTTAAATAATTATATATAAATAATAGAGTATATTATAAATATTATAATGTAAATATATGTATGTATATATAACACATTTTATGTGAAATGAGTATAATAACTACATTATTTATAATAATTTTTAGCGAAAAATCCTTCGCATATAATGACAAAATTGATACGATATCTACTAAACAAGATATAGCAGTGACAGCAGCACATGAAATGGCACATCAATGGTTTGGTAATGTAATCAGTCCATTATGGTGGTCTCATGTATGGTTAAACGAAGGATTTGCGTCGTTCTTCGAAGAATATATTCTCAATCAAGTAAGTTCATTATTACAAGTTTCATTTACATATAGTGAGCATTCGAAAAAATTGTTATTTAGATACATGAAAAAAAGATTGACAAATTTTAAAATGCATCAAAAGATTGCTTTTTATATTTTTTTATTTAAAAAAATTCAAATATAAAATATAATAGTTGAATTATTTATAGTTTTCTACATAACAATAAAGTACTGCCAATAATTATAGATTACGATTACTTAAGAGTTTAAAACAACAGATTTCTCCAAAAACACACACACACACACACACACACACACACACACACACACACATATATATATATATATATATATATATATATATATAATTTACTATATCATAATAACTGGCATTTTATTATTAATTTATAATATTAATTTAATCAATTTTAATTGTGATTGAAATTAAAACTTTTATGTATTTCTAGATTTTCCAAGATTGGCGAGTAATGGAATATTTTGTTGTTACTACTCAACAAACAGCTCTTCATATTGATATTGCTAGGAATATGAAGCCTATTACATTCGAAGTCAGCAGTCCTAAGGAAATTGAGTCACTCTTTTCTTACTCTACTTATGGCAAGGGTAAGATTGGATAAATAAATTAGCATCCTCAAATTCTTGAACATAAATGATCTAAAGCAATTGACGAAACAAAAAAAAGAATTTTTAAAATATATTCTTTTAAATCACAAGAATTAATTTTTTTTATCAGCCATATTCGCGAATATTTTTTTATGAATGATAATATATTGTTATATTATGTATTACTCTCATCAATTTTATATATTACTTATCAATTTTTTATATATTACTTGCAGCACCCGCTATATTACGCATGTTGCAACATATAATTACCGATGAGATATTTCGGAAGGGTATTATTAAATATTTACATAAGCAGTGAGTAATATACTTATTTCTTTATCTAAGAGATAGATGTATAAAGTATCTAGTATAATATTAATTCGACTTAAAAGTAAAAAGTTTAAATTATCACCTAAATTGCCTATATAATAAATCTATTGATAAAACATTGTACAGCACTTTATATTTCTACATTTTATATTTCTGAATAAATAATGCAAGAATTTAATCATTGTGTTTAAAAATTTTTTATTAATTTAAAAATCATTACTAAATTTATTAATATTTAATAAAATGATAATTTTTTATGAAAGTTTAATAAATATAGCATTACAGAGAATTTCCTGAGAATTTTACAAAACTTTATTTTCTTCTTTCTTAGAATAAAGAAAGATAAATCATTGTTACATTCTGAATGCTTTGTGTATAATATTTACAATTAACTATAGATTTATTTTCATTTATACGACTTTTATTGCATTATTATTCTCTTAATAAATCTATCTTCTGTCTTTCACAATTTAGTCAATTCAATTCGGCTACTTCTGACGACTTATGGAACGCTTTGCAAACAGTCCTAGATGAATCAGATGTTCCGCATAATGCCTATAGATTGAAAGAGGTAATGGATACCTGGATAAAACAAAGGCATTTTCCCATAGTACATGTGAACCGAAATAACGACACCAATCAGATAATACTAACGCAAGAACATTTCCGTCCAGAAAGTGAAGATAAGCATGTTGATAATGATAGATGGTGGATACCTTTGACTTTTGCTACACAAACAAATCCCGATTTTTCCAATACTTTGCCTACTCATTGGTTAACACCGCAAGATCAAAATATAACTATTGATGGAATTGATCCAAATGATTGGATTATTGTCAATTTACAACAAATGGGTATCTTTCATATTCTCGATTAATTTAATCTAAATTTGAAAATAAAGATTTTGTTTTTTGTTTCAAAAAGTAGTAATCATTAATTTTACAATTAATAATTAATTAATTAATTTTTCTATTTTTTATTGTTATTTATTTTCTATTTCATGTAATGTTTTATATTTTTATTTATAATTTATTATATAAATTTTCAATATGCATATATAACATATATATAGTGTATATATATATATATATATATATATATATATATATATATATAATAAATGTTAATGTAAAAGAAAAATGTTTAAATATATATTTTAATAAATTAATTTTTTAACATAATTTATAATAGTAATTTATAATATTATTTAATTTTGACAGGATATTATCGTGTTAATTACGATTCTTCAAATTGGCAAAAAATTGCGAACTATCTAAAATCTGAAAATTATACGAAAATTCATGTGCTCAATCGTGCTCAAATCATCGATGATGCTTATCATTTTATGGCGGCAAACCAACTTAATATTCTGACATTTTTGGATCTCATTAGTTATCTATCGCAGGAAAGAGATTTTGTAGCATGGTTTCCTATGTTTGAAATATTAGAAATTACAGAAGATTTTTACAAATATCCAGAAACTGCACTTCTTAAAGTAAGTAGTTTATTTAAATGTTTATATTAAATATATATATATATATATATATATATATATTTATGTATATGTATATATATTTAAAAATAAAATAAATATAATAAACATTTGCTTAATTAATTGATCTCTTATTAAATAATTTAATAAGACTATAATTTACTATAATTTATAAATACATTTTTTAATCACACGTACACATACATATACACATACATACACATATACGTAAATACACACACACACACACACACACGTATGTGTATATGAGTGCACGTGTATATATACTTATGTCCATAAGATAAATGTTCATAATCATATTAACTGCAAAAAACCAATATAAAATTAATATTATTTTATGATTTTTGTAGTCATACCTAATCGAAATTTTGGATGGACTTATTAAGAACGTGGGATACGAAGAAAATCCTGACGAAGATGATCTTACGAAACTTCAAAGAACTAAAGCTTTAAAATGGGCATGTACTTTGGGTCATTCTGAATGCAAGAGAATGGCCACTGTTAAATTGAATGAACATTTCGAAAATCCCATAACACATAAGTAATTTTCTATTTAGTAACTTTTATTTGTTTCTAGTAAAATGAATACATATAAAACACATATATACATTAAAATAAATATATGTGTGTGTGTGCGCGCGCGCGCGCGCGTGTGTGTATATATGTATGACATATATACATATATACAGCGTGTATCTGAAATAATGCACTAAATTTTAGAAGCATATTCTAGAGATCAAAATAAGATTTTTTTTCCCTATAAATATGGGTCTGCAAATGAACCTCCTTCCGAGCTAAAGGTCCCTAAAGTTTGAGGAAATAATTGAAAATTGGCTGTATTATGGATTGCTTTATTATTTGATCTTGGTTTTGACGTTATCTATCATCCTTTCTTGAGAGATAAATAAATTTAAGTTGCGAATGTTTGGTCAATTTCACATATTTTTAAATTTTAGCTCGGAAAGGGATTCATTTGCGGACCTATGTTTATAAGAAAAAAAAAAGTCTTATTTTGATTTCTAGAATACGCTCCTAAAGTTTTTTTAGTACATCATTTCAGATACACCCTGTATACATATATATATATATATATATATATATATATATACATATATGAAGTATTTAATAAATTATTAAGAGTTTAGAATTTCACACATACATCTACGCTCATATACATATATATATATATATATATATATATATATATATACATATATACACAAATAATAAGCTTATTCTTTTATTATATGTTGTAGAGTTTCACCAAATTTGAGAGAATGGACATATTGTTATGGCTTGATGGAAGCAAATGCTTCTACTTGGAATAAATTATTGAGTGTATATATAAATAAATCAAACAAAAAAGCTTTAAAATACTTGGCTTGCTCTGAAAATCCTGATATTATAATTAATTTTTTAAATATATCTATAGCAAATAATTCAATAATACAAGATAAAGATATAGCTTATTCTTCTATTATCAGGAAACATGCTACGAATAATGTAATAATCAATTATATATTAACAAATTTAAAACAAATAATCTCAAGGTATGTTAATATCATCTTTTATATTAATTGTAAACATAATATTTTTTATTTTATTCATTATATAAATATTTAAATTTTAAATTTTTTGCAGAAAATACAATATGGATGATGCATTAAATGATATAATTGACAATGTGTATTCTAATGAACAACTTGACGAAGTAAATTTTATTATCACATTTTACATTTTTATTGATTTATACTTAAATTGATTTATTTCTATTTTTATTAAAAATACTAAATTTTAAACTTTTTCGATAGAATGCCGTTATTATTACAATCTAATAATTTAAATGGAAAAAAATTTCATTTTATTAAATGTACAATAAGTTTAGTTTTGAAAAAGTTGAAACTGTAATTGATACAACAAAAGATCAGAATTTATTTCAAACAAGAACAATAATTATATTTTTCTGTACATTTTACATTAATTTTTATCCATTTTTAATTTTACATAGAATGATGCAATTTTAATTGAAATTATCGTATTGTGCATTTACAAAATATGACAGCAAATTTTTAATAAATATAAATATAATTTGTTTTTAGATAAGTAAATTTGTAAAAAATAAATTTAAAGAAGAAGTATTCAGAAACATTCAAGACAAGGTAAACGATCGCAAGATTGAACTGTTAGACATATTTGCCTCATTTCGGCCACCTGTGATAGAAGAGAGAAAATAAAATTATAAAAACATTTCAATAAAAAAAAACAAAATAAATATATATTGTACATATATGATATATACAACAATTGCAAGACGGATACATATATTTATCTATTTTTAATGTTAATTTTGGAACTTATCAAAAACTTTCTTTTTCTCTTTTTTCATAATTTAAAATAAGTTATATAAAATATTATTTTACATTAATAATGCTTTTGAAAATTTTATTCTTCATAATTTTATTTTTTTTTTGTTTTTGTTCAAATAATTACGTTTTATTACATATAAATCTGACATATAATAAAATATTATAGTAATATCAAAGATTCTTAAAAATTAAATTAAATTTTACATGTACATAAACTTAAATTATTATGTGTTTATTAAAATTTTTAATTAACATTTGATTATTTTACATCAATTGTAAAAATTATGTTATAAGCTGTAATATAATATATTATATGAATATTTTATATATTTTCACTCTTGAAACTCAAATAAACTAAAATAATTCTAAGTTAAATTCTAAATTAAATAAAACAAAATTATTTAATAGTAATTATTATTATCTCTATTATAAATAATGCAAATATCGGAATATATATATATATATATATATATATATATATATATATATATATATACAGGATGTTTTAGACCACCCATTTAAAAATTAGAGAAGTGGTTATTTCAAAAAAGTAAAAAATTATTTAATAGTAATTATTATTATCTCTATTATAAATAATGCAAATATCGGAATATATATATATATATATATATATATATATATATATATACAGGATGTTTTAGACCACCCATTTAAAAATTAGAGAAGTGGTTATTTCAAAAAAGTAAAAACATTTTCTTTATAAATCGGGTACGCTCTATCGAATGGTGATATTTTCAACTTCTGGTTCCGGCCGGAAATAGGCGATTCAAACTAGAAGTCCCTATTTTTTATTGCATATTCTTATAGCTTACCTCGAGGCTTTCCAAAATATTCCATATCCTATAATAAATTATTTTTCCATGAAATACTTTTCGAGTAAGGAGGCTTGAAATCATTTCTTAATTTTACATAAACCATAAAATATTTTATGTAATATTTCGTTAATATTTCGTAAAATATTCATTTTATATTTCGTAAAATATTTTATGTAATATTTCGTTAATATTTCGTAAAATATTCATTTTTCGATTATCTTACCTTACTTTTATATACAATATAATGAGAGGAATCAATTGGTGTAAAGAAAAAACATAGTTGTTTCTAAGAAAATAACGAGAGGAATCAATTGGTGTAAAGAAAACACATAGTTGTTTCTAAGAAGAAATATGTAATTTGCAATTAACAATTCCATATTTTTTCTTAAAAACAATTGTATGTTTTCTTTACACCAATTGATTTCTTTCATTATTTTGTACATAAAAATATTAAGATAAGATAGTCGAAAAATGAATATTTTACAAGATATTTTATGGTTTATGTAAAATTAAGAAATAATTTCAAGCCTCATAACTCAAAAAGTACTTCATGGAAAAATAATTTATTATAGTGTTTTGGAAAGCTCTTGAGGTAAGCTACATGAATATGCAATGAAAAATAGAGGGTTCCATTTAAAAAAATGCACTTCCAGTCTGAATCGCCTATTTCTGGCCGCAACCAGAAATTGGAAATATTACCATTTAATAGAGCGCACCCGATTTATAAAGAAAATGTTTTTACTTTTTTGAAATAACCACTTCTCTAGTTTTTAAATGGATGGTATGGGTGGTCTGAAACATCCTGTATATATATATATATATATATATATATATACCTCTATATATATATACCCTATATATATATATATATATATACCTCTATATATATATACCCTATATATATATATACCTCTATATATATATACCCTATATATATATATATATATATATATATATATATATACCTCAATAAGCAAAAAATTATTAACGTAACATTATTACAATGATATTTTATAATGTCTAATGTTTTGAAGTATGTAATTTTTAATGTCATATACAATGTCACTATGAATAAATCTTGATCTAATATTTGAAATAATGTTTTTAAAACGTTTGTTTAATATTCAAAAATATTATATTATAAAATAATATGTTTAAGATATTTATAAAATATGTCAAAACTTAAACAGAAACGTTACAAAAAAAATTTACATAAAATTAATATTTCAAGAGATTGATTTAATTTCGTTTCTTGCTTACTGGGATTCGGTAAAATTATTTGCTTTGCATTGCTTCCTCGAAAGAATTATTCTTTAGCATCAAACGCTTCCGAAAATTGTAGCAAAGAGACTTATAAATGGATAGTTAGAGTTGTCTCGATTAGTTGAATAGCTACCACTATCACGGAATCCTGTATGTCTGATAACGTAAGTACGCAAAAAAAATTTAACTTAATAAGAAAGAATCATTTATAATTTAAAAATAATTAAATTAACATTAATTAACATTAATTCCCAAAAATTAAGAAAACCAAATATAATAAATTGCCATTCCTTAAAAAGAAAATTGTAAATTATGAAAAACTGTAACATTTTAATGTAGAAGACTATATTTTGTGTATTCTAACATAGTTGTATTTAAAAAAATGAAAAGACAGTGTCATAATATTTAGAAATAACATAATGATATTATTGACAAATAGTAAAATATTTTTAATATCTTTTATGTAATTTTATTTAAAAAAATATTAGGAATATAAATAGCTCTATCTGTATTAATGCGAATCATTCAAATCTTATATTAGTTAAATCTAGTGTGATATATTAATAGATTATGTACTTAATCAAGATTATTCTTATTTTGTAAGTCAGTTATTTCTTGTGAAAATTATGTAAGTTTAAACTCTGCTTTGAATTTGATATACCCGCTGTGCTGTTGCTTAATATGCTTAATGCGCTTAATTAATATGTAACTACATTGGTCAGATACATTTTACATTACTCTCGTAATATTATAGTTAATGTTATGATATTATACTTAAGTTAAATTTTGCTAGTAAAATTTTGTGTTTATAAATTCAAAAAAAAAAAAAAAAATATATATATATATATATATATATATATATATATATATATATAGTTCTCGCAAGACATTAATTCTTGAATATAATAAAAAATTATATATTATTAGTTTGTTTTAAAAAATATACAAATACAATAATGTAAAATAATATTATATAACAACAAAATTCTAGTTTTATTTATTGGTAGTATATCTTATTATTAGACAAAAAATATAAAATAATTATGTATAAATTGCTTCAAAAATTATATACATTACATATACATTATATACATATACAGATATAATTAAAAAATGTAATAACTTATCTCAGAACAAGTCATAAATTTATAATTGCAATAAGCGAAAAATTTTTTTTTATTCTTTCATCTCTTACAGATTTTTATTTGAAGAGACATAGAATTTGATTTTTAATTATTTTATCTTTGCAGAATGCTGTTGTACTCAGTTATTTGCATATATATCTTTACAGTCATCGAAACAGATACTGCTAGCATTCCAAAGTCAAATCTCAACAATAAAAAAATAAATTATCGATTGCCTAATTACACAAAACCGCTGTTTTATGATATTAAATTAAATCCGCATCTCGCGCCAAATAACTTTACATTTGATGGCGAAGTACTTGTCTCTATAGAAATTTTGAGCAACACAAAAACTCTCATGCTGCATATGAAGAAATTGATAATAGACAAAAAATACAACTTTTCTAAAGATCAAAGATGGATTCAATTTTTACATTCCTACTATGTATGATCATAACAATCTAACAGAACCGAGACAAGGAGATATAATAATTTTTCCAAACAATATATATATGTAAAAATATTAATTGATAGACTATTATATAAATATGTGTGTGTGTGTGTGTGTGTGTGTGATCATCTCCTAATTTTTAATTGTCAATCATCTCTAATTATTAAATTATATAGTAAATGTTTGCACGACCTATTGCTTCCTCATGATAATTATACAATAACTTTCATGCTAATGAGATGAGATTTAATGTTTATTCATTAAAGAAAGCTATAATAAATTTATTGATGATTGGCAATAATATATTTTTTGCACAACAGGATTTCTGTATATATTGCAATAAATCTACTATAAAAATGACTTGCAATTTCTCTATAAAATTCTAATTACACAACATTATCAAATATGCTATTCACAGAATCAATATAACTGACAGAAAATTATGAAAGTGCAAAGCCAACCAGTATTAATATACTGGAATGATAAAAATGTAAAAAGGGATTTAATCCCAATACTCTTGAATATAATCTTGAATATACTCTTGAATATTACCTAATTAACTCTCAAAAGATTTTATAAGAAGATGAAAAAAATCAACAATATAATATAATAATAAACATTTAAATAATATTTTAGTCTGCATATATTTAATCTGCATATATTTTATGATATATTTTCAATCCATTCTACTTATTTACAAAAGCGGATTATTATCATTAATATTGATTTTCGATTTGTTTTCTTTGATATATTAAAACGCATGTATATATATCTCAATATAATTTATCATTTCACAAACATAAGCTAGATAAGATATATTATCACGATATATAAAATAATATTTATAATATGGTTCTTAAAACTTTTAATGCAAAATAAATTAAGATAAGCATAAAACTAATATATAATCACAGATTTTAGATAATATATAATTAGATTTTTCTCGATTATATTAGTATAAAATTATATATATATATATATATATATATATATATATATGATTAATTTGTGTTAATAACATATATATAGAAAAGAATAAATTTTTTCCGACATTTTGTTTATATATAACTTATTTATAACTTATAACTTGTAGATATATAACTTTTTATTTCTATTATTATAAATAATTAAAATATATGCATGTTATAAATCTCCTATTAATTTTCTGTCAATAATCTTTTATAAACATAAATTTTGATACTTTTTTGAATTTCTTTATTTAAGAAAAATATATAATTACATTTTTGTTAATAAAAAAAAGTAATAAAATATTTTTTTGTCATACAATATTTTGATGTATTATTAATATAAAATTATTTTTATATGTTTGGTTATCACAATATTCTTAGATTATATCACAAACATATATATGTCTTTCGTAATATATAGATAAATGTAATATGATATGTTTTATAATCTTAAAGTTTTTTTATAATATTATTCTATGATATCTTGCAATTAATGTTTGCAGAAATCTATATCTGCAAAATACTTCATTACTATCACAATTCTATTATTAACTAATAAATTATTTTTTCCTTATATTTTATTACATTCTTTTTCTTCGAAATTTTATCTTTCACTTTTTCATAAGAAATATAATTTTTTTAGATTGTAAATATTTTAAATAATATGCAGAGAAAGAAATAAGTTTAAGTGATAACTATAAATCAATATTTAATTAAATAATTATAAGTCATAATTAATTAAATTTTTTTATTGTTTACACGATTTTAAATTTGGTGCTTTTTTGTCCTTATCCAAAATACAAAATGTCATTTCCAAATAATGATATAAAATTAACAATCAAATAATGTTTTTGATCATGAATTCCATTTACTTTAGTCTGATAAATAAATTGATTGATTTCTGAAAACATTTTAATCAAAGATTAAGAAAAAAAAATCCGATTATTAAATAGATATTACAAAGATATTTACAAATAGATATTTACTTAAAAAAATATAATTTATAAAATAATATTTATCATACTATAATAATTTATTATAAACAATTGTGTGACGCATTTAATTTATTTGTATTACTTTATTCTTTATTAAATCAAAAATAAAAGTTAATAAGTGTAATCTTAAATATATATATATAATACAATACAAATATCTTCAAGTCATAAAAATATTTATAAGTTAAAATTATAGTTATATAAGTTAAAGTTATAATTATAAGTTAAAAAGCAATATTTTTGGAGTATTCTTCTTTATTGTAATCTGCATTTGTGACCTGTAAAAAGAAATAATTTACTATATTTTACAAAAAATATTTATTTTACAAAAAATATTATATTTTTATCAAGTGTATAGTGAATGTTAACTATAATATGATCAAGTATGTATTATAATTATTGTATAATTAAAATAATATTATTGCATTAATTCCGATTATTATCAGTAGATTCAGATTTATTTATGAATAGTTCATTACAAATGTGTACAATATACTAATATAATTGTTGATGAGTTTCTCTCTTGAAGATTAATATAAAACTTCTTATTTTTCTGTAGTAATTTCTTTTTGAGATATTTAATTAGTAAATGCAGTAACAAATCATTTTGTGCAAGTAATAAAACGTGATAATATGATTTAAAATGAAAAATGATGATATCGTTATTTATTAAACTTACGATAAGATAAAAGATATCATAGATAATCCCAAGGCAATATGAGGAATTAAAATCACATATAGCAATCTGTCATTTCAAAATTGTATCGAGAATTATACGTTCATAAACGTGCTGTGAATATATTGTTTGCCGTGATAGGTATATAATAAAATATTTTTACTAAATTTATTTTATTTAAATGTAACTGATATATTGTAAAATTGAAACAACTAAAACGTAATATTATTGCAAATATAAATAATTTATGCTTATCTGTATTTATTTGTGAACATTTACTTGTGAAATAAAACGTGAAAAAACATTAAAAATAATATGCGATAAAACAGTTAGTAAAAGGTAAGTGCAATAATTTCTAATTCATTAAAATTCTTTATCTTCTAAAATAACAGGAACATTTTATATATTTAGATAAGATAACAAATTATATATATTTAGATAAAATAACAAATTATATGTTAAACACTTGCGAAATTTAAACGTAATTAATTAATTACTAAAGCATAAAAGTAAAAAAATTGTATATTTGCCTTCTAGATGAAGATCTTTTACTGGAAGTATCTGTTACTTTGTGTCTTAATCGTATTGTTCAGTGGAAATATAGGAGAAACATTTTCCCCTTACGAAGGTATAATAATATTTATATCTTACATTTAATAGATATATTAATATATTTTATATTAAACTTACATCTTAAATAATATTTATATAAAAAACGCATTTATCATAAAGTAATTTTTGAAGAATACAGCGTGTAAAAAGCATATAAAATCATATAATTATATTTTGTACAAACACAGTTTAATGCGTTCTTCATTAATTTTGTAAAATTGTACGATATTTTATAACTATAAGCGTAAATTTTATAAATATTAATAAAACAAAAAATTATTTTACATTTGTCGTAAGAAGTTCTATTTCAGATTATTGGCTCATAAAATTATATTTTATATATGAAACTATACGTTTATTACAAGTATTTACGATTATTATAAAAATATGTAATTTTGTAAATTTATTGTTTTATATAGATATCTGCGACAAATTGAAATATAATATAACATTTATTATTGCAGATATACACTTACAAAATGTGGAATTTTCAAAATATCATGAGATATCACAAAACGATGACTATAGATTACCAATATCTATTAAACCCATTTCCTACGAAATTATGCTTGTACCAAAATTACAAGAAAATTTTACATTTGAAGGCATCGTAAAAATTACCGCTGTGGTACAAAACGAAACTGACAAAATTACGCTACATAAAGGAAATATCCAAATCGTAAATCAATCCGTTTTATTGGAAAATAAAACTGTTAACATTAAGGATTTTATATATGATAAAAACACTGAAAAATATACCATTATCGTTTCCGAAACTTTTAAAAGAGAATCGCAGATACTAATTGCTTTCGATTATAACGGTATCTTGAATGATAATATGATCGGATTTTATAGAAGTTCTTACTTTGATAAAGATAATCAGATCAAGTAAGCAATATATATGTCAATTTGTAGAATCTATTTTATGTTAATAAAGTTACAAAATTATAAAAAAACATAAACTAAACAAAATATAAATATGCACATAATTTTTGAAATATAAGATCAATATAAATTTATAGAAACTCATAATACAAATATTTTATAGGTGGCTAGCTGCGACACAGTTTCAAACCACACACGCGAGACATGCTTTCCCATGTTTTGATGAGCCAAGTTTTAAGGCAAAATTCACGATTCGCATATCAAGAGACGATAAATATAAATGCATCAGTAATATGCCTGTAAATAAGACTGAAAAATTGTAAGTATTAGAAAAGTGTAGAATATGCTTCATGCTATTAAGTTGAGTTTTGTCTTGTTAATATCATTCTTAACTCATTTTTCTTCTTTTAAGGAAAGACCAGGTCTGGGATACCTTCCATGAAAGTGTCCCTATGTCCACCTATCTAGTGGCATTTGTTATTTCGGAATTTGATTCTATTGGCTCAGAGGTATTTAAAGTTTGGTCTAGGCAATCCGTCATCGAGCAAACGAATTATGCTTTGAAGATTGGTACTACAGCTTTAGAGTTACTCGGTAATATGTTTGAACAAAAATATCATCTTCCTAAAATGGACATGGTAGCTGTACCCGACTTCGCAGCCGGAGCCATGGAAAATTGGGGATTGGTGACATATCGCGAGTCTAGGATGCTATACGATGAGAAAGAATCATCGGCACCAGCACAACAGGACGTGGCTTCCGTAATTGTGCACGAGCTCACGCATATGTGGTTCGGGAACCTAGTGACACCAGAATGGTGGAGCTATCTCTGGCTTAGTGAAGCATTCGCTAGATATTTTCAGTATTTTGGTACAGCGGAAGTAAGGGCAAAATATTTTATCGTTATAGAATCACAGTCAAATTTAATTAAAAAGAAATTAGATTTAGATTTAGTCTGAATAATTTGTACAATTTTAATTTCGTACAATTTATATGCTGTAGATTGAATTTGATATTGTTAAAAATCAATAATTGATTCTTGACGTCACAACACTGAAAAAATATTAGAAAACAGAAATTTTATATTTACATTTCTAAAGAAATTGGATTAATATTTTTTTTTGTCTTTACGCCTAGATTGAAAAATCATGGAACATGAAAGAACAATTCGTAGTGGAACAGCATGAATCTGCTTTAATAGCGGACGGTCTTGAATCTTCTCGACCGATGACTCGAGAAGTTTCCAATCAATCACAACTCGAAGGAATAGGAGATTCTATCACCTATGCAAAGGGAGCTAGCATTGTTCGTATGATGAGTCTCATGTTTGGAACCAACGTCTCCGAACTCGCATTACGCGATTACATACATAATAAGTAAATGTTCTCCAAGGAATTATGCAATTTGTTATATTTTATTTATTGTTCAGCTTTGATAAAAATTGGATTTAAGATACCAAAATATTTAAAATTATATGTATAAGGTTAAATCAATTAATATAATTAATTATATGTATAAGGTTAAATCAATTAATTTCTAAAAGTAACTGATACAATAATGACATCAGAAAAAAAATTAGATGAACTAATATTGATACATATATATTAATAAATATAAATTTTTAATTAAAATATCTACATAATAGAGATAAATTTTATATAAATAACCTTTTATTATTTTAGTATTGCATTAATATTTCTTAATGAAATCTTTGCTGATAAGAGAATAAAATATTACTATTTAATTATAAAAATATTGTGTAATTATAAATTAGATACATATTATTATAAATTAAACATATCAAAAATAAAACTAAAATTGATACATATAAGGCATTTGAAAAAAATGCAAAATCTTTTTTCATTCTTTCAATACACAATTATTATATACACAATATATTTTTTAGCAAAGAAAAAGGATTGGGCCATCCAGATGCTTTATGGGAAGCAATAGAAAATCATCTACAACATACAACACAATCCGTTACAGTGAAAACAATAATGGATACTTGGACTACACAAGCTGGATACCCCGTTGTATCAGTCAATATCGATGACAAGGGCAAATTTCTTATTACTCAACAACGCTTTCTTCTAAGAAACTTGAATAAAACTCCTACAAATGTCACATGGTGGGTGCCGCTTACATGGGCTACACAAACCGAACCAAATTTTAATAATACTCTTGCCAAGATTTGGCTGTCCACTGAAAAAGATACTATAGATCTTAAAATTGATCCGAAAGAATGGGTGATATTCAACGTTCAATCATCGGGTTAGTAAAACAAATTTATAATTAAACATTTATAATGTTAGATTACATCGAAAAATATTGCAATTAAAATATTATAATTAAATAGTAATCGATTAAATTGTCAAAAATGGAAAGTTAATAGTAAAATAAATATTTTAAATTAAAATATTTTATATCGATAGAAATTGCTTAAAAAACAGTTTTAATATTTATTACAGGCTTCTATCGAGTTAATTATAATTATGATGGCTGGCAGCGCATTTTCAATGTCTTAAATAGCGACAAATTCAACGATATTCACGTATTAAATAGAGCCGGAATCATAGACGATTTGTTAAATTTGGGTAGAGCAGGACTCCAAGATTACGAAACAGTTTTGAACGGACTAATGTATCTTAAACAGGAAACGAATTATTTGCCCTTTAAAGCAGCACTCAATGGTTTAGATTATTTGAATAAACGATTTGCAGGACACGAAGAACATTCTTTTAAGTTATTATTTTATTATGCATATTTATACATTTAAATTCATTGCATAGCTAACTATATAAATTTTAATATAAAAAAGAAATAGCATAAGTGTAATGATAAAACAACTTTTCTTTTCATCTGATAAATGTAGCAAATCTGTAATGCTATTTTATGTTTTTAGGAATATGTTCTGTCTCTTCTCCATGATAAACGCAAAAAATTAGGATACGAAGATAGCACAAATGATGATAGATTAACAATTTTATTACGACGAGAAATAAATAAATGGGTTTGCAATTTAGATGACGATGAATGTGTAACAGTTTATATGGAGAAGTTCAAACAGTGGAAAATAAATATTTCTATCCCGTAAGAATATAAATCGATCACTTTTTTTATGTTTTTTATACAATTTATATATATGTATATATATATATATATATATATATATATATATATAACATTAAAGTCAAGTATTTAAATTAAATACATTAATAAATACGGTAATTTTAATATTTGATATTAAATATTATAGTATTAAACCAAATGAAAGATCTACAGCATATTGCGTTGCCGCAAGATATGGAACTCATGAAGATTGGGAATTTTTGTGGAAACAATATTTGAATTCTAATTATGTCACAGATCAAATAGTGATTATGAACGCTCTTGGATGTAGCTTGAATACCACCATTTTAGAAAAGTAAGACTCTTTATCATGAAAGTATTCTTCCTTAATATATAAAAGTATTATTACAAAATATAAAGACACATCATTCATTGGAGATAATGAACTCTCTATAAGCTCTCCTAACATTATTTACGCAACATTTTTTGATTAATTAACATAAATCTTAAGAGCAAAATATATTTTAATTAAGTATATTTATATAACTTGATAATTAATTTGTTTCTATAATCAATCATGCATAATATGGTCATGTACTATAATCATTCATATTGCAAGAAAATAACAGCGCGATTATTGATTATAGTCATATGTCTTGATATAATATCGTATTTAAAAATTAATTATTATTAATTTTATATTCAGGTACTTAGGATATGCTATCAGCGATTACGCAAACAATCGAATTCGTAAACAAGACAGTACAAACGTCTTCGCTGCCGTTTATAATTCTGGTTTGACTGGCGCTGAATATATTCTTGAATTTGTTGAAAAGCATTACAAAGAAATGGAGAAATAGTAAGATCTCTTTATTATATGTATAATACTTTATACAAATGCGTAAAAACAGAATACAAATAATATTCACATTTAGAACGATTTAAAGAACAGATAAAATGTTAATAATATATTGATATGCATCTCACGCATTATATTATATAACTTCTTAAAAATATTTTTGAGCTATGCGATGCGAAATGTCGATTAAATAAATAATATCATCGAACGCGTAAAAGGAAAGATGACATTGAATTGATTTTACAAGCACGCTTTCTTCTTTCATCTTTTTTTAGTTATGGAGGCCAAAGTACAATAGCCACAATTCTCAATGGAGCTTCGCAACATTTCTCTACACCTAGATTAGTGGAGAAATTCCAAAATCTCATAAACAAGACGGAATTCGCATCGATCTTCGAATCTTTAGAGTCTTCTTTAAAAATTGCTAGATACGAATTGGAATGGTATAAGTCCGTTTCGGTTTCTATTATTCGATGGCTACGTGTACAAGAAGGAATCAAATATCGCCTACCAACGAATATAAGTCCCAAAAAATATGTCATATCCGTTACGCCTTATCTCGAGATAGGAAATTTCACTGTCGACGGACACGTCAAGATTGAAGCCGACGTTGTGCAACAGACAAAGCAAATAGTTTTGCACTCGGCGGAAATTGACCATCATACGATAACTGTGACAGCTAATCAGACAGAAGTTAAAATCGCAAGTGAAAATATCGAAAAGAAATATGATTTTTATATAATAAATCTTGATCAAGAACTACCCGTTGGAACGAAATTGATCATCGAAATCGAGTATACAAGTTACTTAAATCCATCAGAACTTCGTGGTTTTTATAAAAGTTCGTACGTGGATGATGATGGAAAGACGAGGTAATGAATTAAGCATTATTAATAATAAATATCTCTCCAATTTAAAATTTAATGAATTATTTCATGTAAATTAATAGTGAACATCATTTTGAATGTCTTTTCTATTTTGCAAAGTAAAAGTATTAAAGAAAATTTTAAGAAAAGTTACAATTGTCTTGAATTATTTTGAATTTAAATATGTTAAATAATTAATCTTATTTATAAATGTGACGAAAAAGACATTACAATTAAAATTTCTGTATTCGACTAATTGTATTATATTAGATGGCTTGCAACCACGCACTTAGAACCCGTTGGTGCCAGAAAAATGTTCCCTTGCTTTGATGAACCGGCACTGAAAGCACTTTTCACCGTGCAAGTTAGTGTACCATTAAATTATTATGCTGTCAGCAATATGGAATGGAAATCGAAGGAAAAAGTGTACGTATAAATTTAAATATATCAGATTCCTTATCGTACGCGCTTGGAAATGTAATTAAATATTATTTCTTTTTATTTTTTAATTAAGATAGTTTTGTACATGATTCTCGTATTATACTATGAAGAAACATGTAGTATAAATACACTTGGTTGTTGCAGTGATGATCGCCTATTATATACTTTCTATGAATCAGTAAAGATGTCGACGTATCTAGTAGCGGTTGTCATTAGCGATTTTGAAATTAAATATGCGACGAATAAAACTGAATATGCCGTACTTGCTCGTCCCAACGCCATTAATCAAGCGGAATACGCTGTATCCTTAATATCACCAATCGTTAATTTCTTTGAGACCAAGATGAGACAGCAATATGAAATCTCCAAACTCTACATGGTTGCACTGCCAGATTTTCCATCAGGCGCAGGGGAAAATTGGGGTCTCTTGACATACAGAGAATCGAATTTATTATACGATGAGAATCACTCTCCGATCACGAGCAAGCAAAATATCAGAAACGTGATCGCCCATGAAATTTCCCATCAATGGTTCGGAAATTTGGTCAGTCCTTTATGGTGGAAGTATCTATGGTTAAACGAAGGATTCGCCAGATACTTCGAGTATCACGTTCCTGCTCGTGTACGTAATTGATTTATTTGATTAATGTATTCTCTTAACGCTGATTTAATAACTATAAATGCGAAATAGATGTAACAAATAATTTTTTCATTAAAGAGAAGAATTTTAGAGAAAAATTTTCCTATATGTTAAATACATTAATATATGCTTTAAACACAATAATATATGCTCTGATATATATATATATATATATATATATATATATAAACATATATGTTTGTATATATAATTTTTTATTTCAATGCATTAAAATGACTATTAAAATAAGGACGTTATTTTGATCTAAAAATTTTCGTAGACATTAAATCTGTTATTTGTATATTAGGTGTTCAATGATACGACGTTGGAAGCGCAATTTGTGGTGGATGAAGTCCATTCTGCTTTCAGAGCAGACAGTTCCTATTCTACGCACGCCTTGAATTACGATGTATATAGTCCACGAGAAATTCGAAGTATATTTGATACTATTACTTATGCGAAAGGCGCCAGCATATTAAGAATGATAGAAAACTCATATGGAACTGAAATGTTCTACACGGCGTTAAGTGATTATCTTAGTAAAAGGTACATTTATAATTGTGAAAATGGCATCTTTTTTTTTATATTAATTGGTAAATTATGTATGACAAATTAATTATAATAATGAAGAAATTATTTTTGTAATTAGCTAATTAATTGGTTTTCATTAATCACATCTCTTTAATAAGATAATGATCTAGTAATGATTTATAATGATTTCTTTTTTTATAAGAAAATAAAATCGTCTATGTTAGATATGCATTTATATTCAATAATAAAAAAGTATTTAATGCTAAAAATATGAAAGATAAAAAATAAATAGAAAAACATATATGTTGTAGACGAACATTAATCTTAAAAGAAAAAATTATTTTTTGCATAATTTTTTAGAAAATACAATGTTGCGACATCGGAAGATTTATATGCAGCATTTCAAACACAAGTTACGAAAAAAGATTTAAAAGACAATATCACATCTATTTTGGACACATGGGTTACCCAACCTGGCTATCCTGTTGTTCATGTCGATGTTAAAGAAGATACTATGATTTTGAGACAAGAACGATTCCTTTTTAAGCAATATAAAGATAATTCTATTTGGCATATACCGATCACATGGGCATCAATTAATAATCGTTCAGAATATTCCAATACCATGCCAAAACAATGGTTAACAAAGAATGAAATGGAAATAAAAAATTTATCACTATCACTCTCTATATTCAACGTGCAGCAATCTGGTAATTAAACAAGAAATATTATTAAAAACTGATACTCTCTGAAAACACAATAATTATGATAAGTAAACGTGCACACACACACACACACACAACATACAAGATTTCAATTATTATTAATTCTTAATACATATACGTTTATTAATTTACAATAATATTTTCAAATTCATATTTATAAAATGCTCTTATTTGTTCTTAGGTTATTATCGCGTAAATTATGACGAGAAATATTGGATAAAATTATTTGATTACCTTCAAACTGATAATATTAGTACAATTCATGAAATAAATCGCGCAGCATTAATTGATGATCTCATGAATTTTGCACGAGCAGATTACATCAATTATAAAATTGTCATATCAGCTTTAAGATATTTAACACGAGAAAATCATTATCTTCCCTGGCGCGCATTTTACAATAATCTGCCTTACTTGAACAACCGTTTTCGGGGACGTAGTATTGAAGAACTATATAAAGTATGTATTATAGAAAAAAAAGAGACAAAATTATACAAAGAAGAATAATATATTTAGACATACTGGTGAGAAAGAGAGAGAGAGAGAGAGAGAGAGGAAGAGAGAGAGAGAGAGAGAGAGAGAGAGAGAGAGAAAGAGAGAGAGAGAGAGAGAGAGTTAAATTATTAAATATTTAATTTTATTATTTTTAAATATAAGATATTTGTTTAAAATCTTGTAAATTTTTTTCATATGGATCTACATAGATAAAAATTATATTAAAATAATTAAATTAAAAATATATTAAAATAAATATTAGTTTAAAATTTTATATATATATATATATAATAATAATATAATAAAAGTTTTTTCTTTTTTATTTAACATTTAATTGCCTTTTCGGTTATATATTTTGCTAATGTGCATTTTCAAATTAAATATTTTTAAACTGCAATATTTTTTTATAGTAGTCGGTATTTCTATTTACTTATATTATAATTTAGAAAATAATATTTTATAATATAATATAAATAATATTCTATTAAAATAAACATTTATGTATATTTATATGATATTTTCCAGAAATATTTAATATCTCTTATAGAACCGCTTTACACACAATTAGGTTTCGAAGATAGAGATTATGATGATAATCTAACTATCATGTTAAGAATGCACACTCGTAAATGGGCTTGTAAATTAAATATAGGAAATTGCAAATTCCATGCTACAAGATATTTCCAACAAAAACGATATTCAGGAACGTAAGTTTAGTAACAAATTATAATATGTTTATTTCTCATAAAACTTGCAAAATTACTTGTAAAACACTGATATGATGATTGACTTGCAATGTATAGAAATAAATATATGAACTAAAATTTTGATAATAACATATCAATTACACTTACAATTTATTATTTTATATATACATATTCGTTATTTTGCAGAATACCTCCAAATTATCGCGATGTTGTTTATTGCACAGCCATGAATGCAGATATGACAACGAATACTTATGATTTTCTGTGGAAGGAATACTTAAATAGCAATGTCACTACAGATAAACTTGTGATTCTTAGCTCATTGGCATGTTCGCAAAATAAAATTATTTTAGAAAAGTAAGTATATGTGGTGTCTCAAATTTTCATAGTTGTCGAAAATAATTACCGTCCATAAATTATGTATTACGTTATTTACATATGATTATTTATATTTATATACAGTATTTTATATTAAATCATAAATCAAAGATACATTGTGTGTGTAAAAATTATTCTGCAAGATTTTTAAAAGATTATATATATATATATATATATATATATATATATTTTCTTTTTGCATCAAGGTTATTACAAGATGCGATTACAGAGAATTCATATATACGCTACCAAGATAGCGCGAAAGTATTCTCGAATGTCTACGATGCTAGTTTAATTGGTATTGAAGTTGTCATGAATATCATTAAAAATAATTATGATGATATACTACACAACAAGTAAGTAAATAACTACTATGCAAAAAAATAATAAACATTATATAACTGTATGCAATATATTATATATATATATATATATATATATATATGTATATATATATGTATATATATGTGTATATATATATATATATATATATATATATATATATAGACATAATTGTATTTGTCCTTTATGTTATATACTTATATATTTTATTTACTAAATTATCTAATAACATTTTTATTGTCATTTTTTATTATAGTTTTGATGATTATACAAAAATCGGAAATATAGTGAATTCTCTGGCAAGCAGATTATCTACTCTTCACCTCTATAAACAGGTGATTTTATTGATCACACATCACACATTTCGATTAATTTCATCTATTTTGCATAATAAGTGCTTAAAAACAACAATATAAAAACAATAATTTTTACAAAAGTAGTTATATAAAAGTCTGAAAAATTTTCATAAAAATAATAATTATGTAATCTTACTCGATAAAATATATTTTATTAAATATTAAAATAAATAATAAATTAATAATAATTGTTAATTAAAATAAATTAATAATTAAAATAAATTAATAATTAAAATGAAAAATAAGATAATATAATAAAATAGTTAAATTTTATGCAAACTTTATTAAGAAAAATCAGTTTCGAACATATCGAGAGATATAACTAAAAATATATCTTATGTATATATTATGAGATATTTTGAGACAAATTCTTTGAACAAATTGCTATTTATAAAATTCTTGATGTTATCTGATATTTATTCAGTCAAATTTATCTTTGATTCGCAGTATCAAAACTTACTGGTTTGGCTGGTTGCAAAAGAACCAGCTTTCACTAAATCTATCGATTCCTATTTGTCAACGGCGCAATACGAATTTGATTGGTATGAGAGAAAAGCGCCAACAATTGTAGAAGAATTGGACAAGCTGTTTTTACACAACAAATATCGCTTGCCTAACACACTTTATCCAGAACTATACAATGTGACTCTCAAGCCTAATATAGAGGAAAGTGTTTTTACAGGAAAAGTGCAGATATACATGAGAGTCGTAAATGATACTATATCTATAATTCTCAATTCACAAAATCTCAATATTTCAAATATAAAAGTCTTCAGAAATTATACGACAAACAATTATTTAGATACCGAACCAATACAAATATTAAACTATGTAAATGAGCAACTATTTGTACAACAATTAAGAATATATCTCAATTCTGAAGTTAAAAATGAGGAACAGATAATGGCAGAAATTGATTTTAATGGCATTCTTAATGATGATATGCAGGGATTTTATCGCAGCTCCTATTTAGACAGTGACGGAAAACAACAGTGAGTAATATATATATATATATGTATATATATATATATATATATATATACATATATATATATATATATATATATATATATATATTTATATTTATATAACACGTAAGTTCTACGTTAAATAAACGATAATAACTTTATTTATTAAAAAAAGAACAAGCATGCAATTTTTCGTCTCATTTTTCAGTATTTTGAATAAAATTATAATTATGGATGTTAATATCAAAATACGGATGTTGATATAAAAATAGTAATAAATAAATTATTTGCATTAAATTTTGATATTTATATTTGCTTGTTAATTTATTACAGTTGGCTAGCTACAACACAATTCCAACCTATATATGCTAGAAAAGCCTTTCCTTGCTTCGATGAGCCAGCATTCAAATCTCAGTTTATAATTAATATTGAAAGACCGAATCATTACAATGCACTAAGTAATATGCCACAATCTAGAGAGTTGAAGTAAGTGCGAGAAAAATATTTAAAAATACTTAATATAAACTTGAATATATATATGTAAATATATATTTACGATAGTGATGCAAGAGATAAGAGTCTTATAATATATAAATCTTATAATATATAAATTATCTTTATATATATATATATATATATATATATATATATATTGCATTTGTCTACCATTTTAGGAATGATAACTATACATTGGATATATTTGATATCAGTGAAGTGAAAATGCCAACGTATCTGGTAGCATTTGTTATTTCTGAATTTAAACCTGCAGATGAATCTGAAAAGTTTCTAAACGTATGGGGTAGACCCGAAGTCGCAAAGTATGGCAAATTTGCTCAAGATATCGCCAAAGCATTTATTGATGAGTTGCAAAATTTCACGAATATCAAGTATTCTTTGCCTAAGCTGGATTTAGTAGGAATTCCTGATTTCTCGATGGGCGCAATGGAGAACTGGGGTCTTTCTACTTTCCGGTAAAATATTTTTTACTCTTAATTTAATAATCATAGAAATATTATATCGATTTTTGATATGAATTATTCATGTTACTACATAAATAATATGATTTCTTTAATAGCGAATATGGGCTCTTTTATAACGAAACCGAAACCACAGCCACGTATGAAAAATACATAATAACCGTAATAGCACACGAACTTACACATATGTGGTTCGGGAATTTAGTTACTTGTGCGTGGTGGAATTACTTGTGGCTCAATGAAGGCTTCGCTCAATATTTCGAATATTTTGTGGCTGATCAGGTGTGTAAATATATTTGCATCAAAAGAAAACCATATTTTTTACTCCAATTAGCTTGTTTAATATATGATAGATTACATGCTATTTTAAAAATTTGATGAAATTTATTGTAATTTAAATATTTTGCCCTCTTTAATGTTTTCGTTCGTAAGTTTAAATTAGTAAAAAGAGGTCCTACTAAAAAATTGAATTTTTGAAATAATATCCGTTGCAGATATCTCTCTCTATTTGAATAAGAAATTTAATAATAATAACTCGTACAATTTAATAACAATAACTCGTACAATTTTTTTAGATATGGCCAGATTATCAATTCATGGATCAATTTGTGGTTTATGAACTGCAATCTGCTTTGTTACAAGATTCTTCATCTTCACCCCATCCAATGACAAATCCCGTTGAATTACCTGAAGAAATAAATAATATTTTCGACTATGTCACTTATGCAAAATGTACGTGTCACATAAAGATTTTAATGTGTGTAGTCAACGTATATCTAAATATTTAACATCTAATACTAACAGTTGAAATAATTTTTAGAGAAATAGTCTCTTTTAATTAATTTTAATATTATAATAATGTGTTTTACGACTAAAAGTATAAAATTTGTACAAAATATATAATTATATAAATGATAAAAAATTTATTATTATTAGCTTAAAACAATTTGTAAAAATAATTTATATTATAATAATTGTATTCTTCTTCTTGCAATCACAAAGTATTTTATTATTGAATCAAATTATTATGTTTTGTATAACTTGATATAGCTATATTGTATATATTGATATTTGAGGTATCATATTCATATTTATATGAGTCTACTGCATAAAACTGTTTCTTTTAATGTTCCATATTAAAATATTTATATATTTTAGCTGCCAGTATCTTACGAATGCTATTTAATACGATGGAAGTTAGAAATGTATCTGAGAAGTTAATACTTCGCCATTATTTGAATAAACAAATGAAATATGGTACAGCACGTCCTACAGATTTATGGGAAAGCTTCGAACAATTTGTATCAATATCACCAAACATGAAAAAGACAAGCATCAAGGAAATAATGAATACTTGGACAAATCAACCGGGATATCCTGTCGTGAATGCTACATTAAATAATTATAAATTAACGCTAACTCAGGTAATGTCATATACTTTATATTGTGTTGCCATATTTTTATCTGATTTAGAAATTCTTCAATCTAATTTAATATTATTATTTTAAATAGGAACGGTTTCTAATAAACAAAGCTACCACTAACGATGAATTTTATTGGATACCGATTTATGTTGTCACATCCATGGATTCTAATAAATATATAGTTATGGATCCCACAGTATGGCTAGGACCAAATCCTGAAAGTATATATATCAATCCCGTTAATGAATGGTTTATCGTAAATTACAAACAAACTGGGTTTTACCGTGTTAATTATGATATTTATTCATGGCAACGATTAATCAATCAACTGAATAGTCAAGGATTCGAATCTATCGATGTCTTAAATCGTGCTCAAATTATAGATGATCTCTTTAACTTAGCTCGCGCCACTTACGTAGATTACGAATTGGTGCTAAATGCAGCGCAGTATTTGATCAAAGAGACAAATCACTTACCATGGAAAGCGTTCTTTAACGGCTTGTCGTATGTTTACGAACGATTTGAAGACAAGAGCAAAAATCAGTCCTATCTGAAGAAATTTGTGTCCCAAATAATGTCCGCGATGTATAATAAAACAGGATTCTATGATCGCAAGGAGGATAAGCTTCTAGACAGATTAAATAGAGAGATGATTCTCCAATGGGCTTGTAAACTCAATGACGTGGATTGTGTTAAAAAATCTAAAGATTTATTTGCAACTTGGCTTAATAATAATCAAAGCCGGTAAAATTCTAATAAGTTTTCATAAAATTACTGAACTAATTATGACTGTAATTATTAATATTTGTTTCAATCAATTTGTAATCTCTTGCTTCTTTTTCTTTCTTTTTTCTCGTATATTAATTGTTTCTGTCAAACATAAAACAAAAGTTTTTACTTTAGAAACTGTGAAATCTACATTTTGAAAATAATGTTACAAAATTATTTCGAGATAAAAAGTATAATAAAAAAAATAGAAAAAAGGAGAAGCGAAAGATTTTTAAAGATCAAGGAAAGCTTTGGATATTTAAATAATTACATTTAAATAGTTTATTACATTTAAATAGTTAGTTTCATTTTATTATATATTTTATTATATAGATTATATCGATTAATAAATATATACTTTCTTGTGTGACTTTTGTAAAAATATGAATCTTATATTTTTTTATTTACAGAATCCCACGTAATGCACGATCAGCTGTCTATTGTACTGTGATAAAGGAAGGAACTACAAATGAGTGGGAATTTTTGTGGAAGCAGTACCTAGAAACAAACTTTGGATCAGAAAAGAAAATTATTATAAATGCACTTGGATGTTCCACAAACAAAGCAACACTTCAAAGGTAAGTATATAAACACAAAGTACACAAAGCTCTTTCTAAATTAATAAAAGTAGAATTGTACATCTATTTTCCTATATCTATGTGTGCGTGTGTGTAAAACTCATTAAAATTATAACGGTCATAATAATTTTTAATTGCTTCTATACAATCTTACATGTAATCTTACCACGTTTGATGCATTAATTCACGAAAAATTCATCACAGTTATCTATGGATGGCCATCGAAAAATACAATCCTACAAACGCTATTGTTCGCCGTCAAGATGTTTCAGCAGTATTTGCTTCCGTATATAGTGCAAGTCAACTAGGAGTGGACGTTACTCTTGACTTTTTAATAACAAATATCTTAGAAGTCTTTGCTTAGTAAGTATCGCTGCAAAATATTTGATAGAATTTGAATAAAATTCGATTGCAAGTTTTTGGCAAGAAAATTCTTATATTCATACGCTTTATACGCTTTTATAGTTTCAACAATTGGGACGATGTGGCGGCTTTGTTCAATAACGTGGCATCTCATATATCGAGTTGGGATCAATATGATAAGGTACAAATATAATCAGAGAGACATTATAACATATCTTTGAAAATTCCAAAAGCGAGAAGATAATTTTTACCGATGTGTTAACATGCTAATAATTGACGTGTTATCGTTTTATTAATCATATCGATTTTTCAAATAATATATTAAATAATATATTTTTAATGAGCAATAATATATATATTTTTTTTAGCTGAGCACGTTTGTCAAATCTTATGTAATTTTACCGCCAGACATCAAAGTAAGATTAACTTCTGCCGTCACTACTGCAGAAGCCAATTTGATGTGGTATAAAAGAAATAATCAAATAATTATTCAATGGATAAGAAAAAAATCTGATACAGATACTTCTATAAATTCTAATGGTTCTACTACAATAGGATCATTAAATGTTATCTTTATGATTCTTGTTGCTTTAATATCGCATTTTGTAAGCTGTTATTGAGAAATTGCAATAAATAAATTATAATAATAAATAAAAATTTTTTCTTAATTTCCTACTTCACAGATTTTAAAAAATTTGACAATTTCTTTTTCAGACACTAGTTTTTTAATAATAATATCAATAATATTTTCTTTAGATAATAATTTTTATTTTTTTCTATAAAATTAAGAATAGAAATAATATTTTTTCCCTTTCTTTATACAATACCTTCCTAATACTACTTTTTATATTTATTCGAAATTAGTATTATTTAATATTAATATTATAATAAATAATTGTATGTGTCATTTAAAAGTTATAGACCGCTGCATTTTACTGAGCTCAATTACTTAAAAACTGATATAAATATACAGAAAAATTATATCTTTGAGTTTTATATTAGTAAATAATAAAAGTAATATATAAAAGAAAATATAAAAAATTATTTAATAATAATATTTTTTAAATCTACTGTTCATTCCATATTGAATAATTAATTCAATTAATATATGTTTTTTTATTACATTTATAATTATATTTATATTAGCTGTTTGATCTCTCCTCCATGTAATATTCTATGCTTAGTTACCGATTAGAAAATCAGTCAAAAGGGGCAAAAGACAATGACCGCGCTTCTTATCTTTGGTTTTGAGCGCTCGCGCGTGATGATGTCTGTATCGCAGCATGTCAGTCTGTCTCTTTGTACTGAGCAAGCAAGATTGTCCATCTGTGCCCATTACAAATTAATAAATGTGCTTATTAAACCAACAAAAAAGCAAATCATTAGATTAAGGATGCAATCGCGTATAAACACGTACTCGTTCGACATAGAATGCATCGTGACTGATCAGGTCACGAACAAGCTCCCATCATTCACTTTCAAGCGAAACGAGTTTAATCTCCCGCGCAATTTACAGCTCGCCGATCCTCGATTTCATCAGTCTGCCGATATCGACTCTCTTATTGGCGTAGACCTCTTCTGGGACTTAATCTGTGGGACAAGTCAAAGCATCACAGACGCATTCAACGCTACAAAAAACGCGTCTAGGATGGATCCTGGCAGGTCGACTGAGCAATCTGCCAATGGAATTTGTTTCCCATGATGAGATATCTCATGCATTAGAAGTTGCATGCAAAACAGTACAAAGGATCGCATTTTCCAACGAGTACAATCAATTAGGAAAAAGTAACTTCATCAACACGACCAGCAAATTACTCCCCCTAGCTCCATTTATGGACCAGAGCGGACTACTACGGGAGGCAGATTAAAAAATTCGGAGTTACAATTTGACACGTGTCATCCTGTATTGCTCCCGCGCGAGCACGAACTTACGAAGCGTATAATAAAGCAGGAACACGTGCGCAGTCTGCATGCCGGAACACATGCCACCATGGCCGCGGTTAGCGTTTTTGGCCCCTGGCTCTTCGTTCGGCCACACGAAAAACGTTCGAGATTGTTTAACATGTTTCAAAGCCAGGTTGATCCAGTCAGAGGCGTTAATGGACTCCTTACCTATCAATCGTGTTACCGTTTCAAGGCCGTTCTCACATTGTGGCGTAGATTACGCCGGTCCAATAATTCTAAGAGAGGACAAGCGGCGTAATCACAAAGCGTACATTTCAATTTTCGTATGTTTCGTCACTAAAGGAGTCCACATAGAATTAGTAAACGATTTAACATCAGAGAATTTCATCGCTACGTTACGGCGATTTATTTCTCGAAGGGGCAAACCCGCCTGTATATACTCTAATAACGGCACCGCATTCGTCGGAACGAATAGGTAGCTTAAAGATTTATACGATTTCATTAATGATAATTAAAGCGGCATACAGCATTTTCTTCGCGAGCACGAAACAACCTGGTGCTTCATTCCGCCCAACGCGCCTCATTTTAACGGTTTATGGGAAGTCGCTGTAAAGTCAGCAAAATATCACATGGCCCGAATAATAGGCAAGGCCCATTTAACCTTTGAAGAGATGTCAACAGTACTGTGCGAGGTGGAGGCGATTTTAAACTCACGATCACTCACGCAACTCAGAGCCGATCCAAACGATCTGGTGTACCTTAGTCCCGGCCACTTTTTGATTAGTACTACGCTAAACGGTTTTTCTTGTCACGATTTGCATGATGTTAACGAGAATCGGCTAACGCGTTGGCAAAGAGTGGAGCAAATACGACAACATTTTTGGCGTAGATGGAGTCTCGAATACCTACACTCCTTGCAAGAGCGAACAAAATGGAAGGTCAACAAAGGCGTGCAATTAAAACCGGAGCAACTAGTGCTCATAAAGCAGCAAGGGTTGCCTCCTTTGCAGTGGCTATTAGGTCGAATACAGGAAGTCCACACCGGTGCCGATTGCGTCGCGCGAGCCGCCACCGTTCGAACAGCGAAAGGCTCATTCATGAAACCTCTGTCTAAACTCGCGATTTTGCCAATAGACTTAAGTATAAAGTAAGTTTATTTTTAATTAGATAATAAGATAACCTTTGTTAACCATAAGCATCAATTCTGATTGTACCAAAGACTTGTATTTTCTCTAGGTTACAACATTTTTTTCTTTGTTATTTATATCCAACATAGCGAGCGTCTATAATTTCAATTTTTCTTTTCTTTTTTTTTTAATTGAAAGCACATGCTTTCAATGAGGGGCGGCCTTGTACAAAGCAATACAATGCTTTTTGTACTGCTTTATATCCACCGCGGCCTCACGCGTGATTCGCGGACACTCTCGGACAATTCCGCCGATCGCCGAAAGGCCTCAATAAGAGAGCACCGAGCTCTTGCATATAGATCTTTTCAAACGCGCAGCGAACACAGTATAGAAAGATAAGTTTAAACAAGAAGAAGCCATTATTCTTTCTCGACCAAGCCGATCCTGAAAGAACGAGTACCGATATCACCGCTTGGAAACCACAAGGCTACGCAACAATTGTAATGTGATTAAGTATACATTATACTTACAATTATAAAGATTTTTATCGCATTAATCTAGATTATTACCAATAAGTTTAGATTGATTTATGAATAGCTTATCAAATATGTATAATATATTGATATAATTGTTGATAAGTCTTTTTCTTTTGGAGATTAATATAAATCTTTTATTTTTGTGTAATTTCTTTTCCAGTTATTTAATTAGTGAATGTAGTAGCAAATAACATTTTATGTAAGTAACAAAACGCGATATCATAATTCAAAATGAAAAATGACATTGTTCTTCATTAAATTTATGATAAGATAATAGATGATATGATAGATAATCCCAGCAGTATCAGAAAGAGATCAAAATTGCATATAGCAATCTGTTACTTGAGAATTGTATCGAGAACTAAACGAGCGAATTATCAGAAACGTGTTGTGAAAATCGAATATATTATTTACTATAATAAATTTATAATAAATTTTTTACTTTTATTTTATTTAAACGTGACTGATATAAAATTAGTAAAATTGAAAGAATTCTTCTAAAACTCAATATTACTGCAAATATAATTTTCGCTTATCTTTCTTCGTAAACATTTATTTGTAAAATAAAACGTGATTTATTTAGGAAAAAAACAATAATAGTAAAATATGCGATAAAACAGTTAAGAGACATAATTTCTAAATTATTAAAATTCCTTATTCTCTAAAAAAAACAGTAGTATTTTATATATTTAGATAAGATAATAAATTTTATATTGAACTCTGCGAATTCTATGGCGTAATTAATTAATTGCTGACAGAGTTTAAAATTAAAAAAAACTATATATTTGTCTTTTAGATAATGATCTATCGGAAATATCTGTTACTTTGCATCTTAATCATATTGTTCAGAGAAGATACAGGAGAAACATTTTCCGCTTATCAAGGTAATTCTATTTATATCTTATATTCAATAAATATATTAATATGTTTTATATTAATTTATATCTCAAATCATATATTACTAAAAAAATAACAATAAAAAATAGAAAATATATAGAATATAATTATATTTTGTATATAAACTGTTTTGTATATGATATTTTAATACGTTCTTAATTAATTTTATAAAATTATATTATATATTTTGCAACTTATATAACATATTTTATAACTTATACTACATATTTCGCAATAAAAACATAAAAGTAAATTTCAAAAACGTTAATAGAACAGAAAATTATATACGTATTTAACATTTAAAATTATATACGTATTTAACATTTGTCATAAGAATTCGTATTTCAAATTAGTAATTTATGAAATTAGTAATTTATGAATAATTGAATAAAATATTTATATATAAAACTATATACTCATCAATATTTATATATAAAACTATATACTCATTACAAGTATTTAGAATTATAAATATATATGCTATATTTATATTTGCTATATTATATCAATTTGTCGCAAATTACTGTACATGAATCAATAAATTTACAAAAATATCTAATTTTAATTTATTGATTCATGTACAGCAATTTGCACAAACTAATATAATATAGCATATTTATTTTGTTGCAGATATACGTACACAAAATATGGAATTTTCTCAATATCATGAGATATCACAAAATGATGATTATAGATTACCAGTATCTATTAAACCTATTTCCTACGAAATCATACTTGTACCAAAATTACAAGAAAATTTTACATTTGAGGGCTTCGTAAAAATTACCGCTGTGGTACAAAACGAAACTGACAAAATTACGCTACATAAAGGAAATATCCAAATCGTAAATCAATCCGTTTTATTGGAAAATAAAACTGTTAACATTGAGCATGTTATATATGATAAAAACACTGAAAAATACACCCTTATCGTTTCCGAAACTCTTAAGAAAGGATCGCAGATACTAATTACTTTCGATTATAACGGTATCTTGAATGACAATATGATCGGATTTTATAGAAGTTCTTACTTCGATAAAGATAATCAGATCAAGTAAGCAATATATATGTCAATTTCTAGAATCTATTTTATGTTAATAAAATTACAAAATTATAAAAAGCATAAACTAAACAGAGTATAAATATGCATAATCTTTGAAATAAATATCAAATCAATATAAATTTATAGAAGCTTCTAATACAAATCTTTTATAGGTGGCTGGCTGCAACACAGTTTTCAAAAACATACGCGAGATATGCATTCCCATGCTTCGATGAGCCTAGTTTTAAGGCAAAATTCACAATTCGCATATCAAGAGACCAAAAATATAAATGCGTCAGTAATATGCCTTTAAATAAGACTGAAAAATTGTAAGCATTAGAAAAGTACAGAATATATGCTTCATTATAAGTATGCTGTTAAATTGACTTCCTGTTTTAATACTATTCCTAACTCATTTTTTATTTTTTAAAGGAAAGACCAGTTTTGGGACACTTTCCAGGAAAGTATCCCTATGTCCACCTACCTAGTGGCATTTGTTATTTCAGAATTTAGTTTTGTTAACCAAGATAAGTTTCAAGTGTGGTCCAGGACATCCGTCATCGATCAAACGAATTACGCTTTGAAGATTGGTACTACAGCTTTAGAGTTACTCGGTAACATGTTCCAGCAAAAATATTACCTTCCTAAAATGGACATGATAGCTGTTCCCGATTTCGGAACTACTCAAACCGGAGCCATGGAAAATTTGGGATTGGTGACATATCGCGAGCCTAAAATGTTGTACGATGAGAAAGAATCATCGGTACTGGCACAACAGAGCGTGGCTTCTGTAATTATTCACGAGCTCACGCATATGTGGTTTGGAAATCTAGTGACACCAGAATGGTGGAGCTATCTCTGGCTTAGTGAAGCATTCGCTAGATATTTTGAATATTTTGGTACAGCGGAAGTAAGGGCAAAATATTTTATCGTTATAGAATCACAGTCAAATTTAATTAAAAAGAAATTAGATTTAGATTTAGTCTGAATAATTTGTACAGTTTTGATCTTATATAATTTACGTCATACTTGCATATGATACTTGCATATTGTTGAAAATCAATAATCAATTCTTGACATCACAATACTGGTACATAATAATTTAAAAAACAGAAATTTCATATTTACATTTTTAAAGAAATCGGATTAATAATTTTTTTGTCTCTTTAATGCCTAGGTTGAAAAATCATGGAACATGAAAGAACAATTCGTAGTAGAACAGCATGAATCTGCTTTAATAGCGGATGGTCTTGATTCTTCTCAATCAATGACTCGAGAAGTTTCTAATCAATCACAACTCGAGGGAATAGCAGATCCTGTCACCTATGCAAAAGCAGCTAGCATTGTTCGTATGATGAGCCTTATGTTTGGAACCAACGTCTTCGAACTCGCATTACGCGATTACTTACATAATAAGTAAATGTTCCATAAGGAATTATACAATTTATTATATTTTATTTATTGCTTAGCTTTTATTTAAGTTACAAAGATATTTAAAATTATATATGTAAGGTTAAATCAATTAATTTCTAAAAGTAATTGATACAATCATAACTTTAGAAAAAGAATTAGATTACTAATATTGACATATATTAATCTATATAAATTTTTAATTAAAATAACTAGATAATAGATAAATGTTACATAAATAACTCTTTATTATTTTAGTATTACATTAATATTTCTTAATGAAATCTTTGCAAATAAGCGAATAAATTATTACTTTTTAATTTTAAAATTATTGGGTAATTATAAATTAGATATTTACATAGTAATGTAAATTATACATATCTACTAAAATTGATTCATATAAGGAATTTGAAAAAATGCAAAATTTTTTTCTTTCTATCAATATACAATTATTATACAATAAATTCTTTAGCAAAGAAGAAGGATTAGGCCATCCAGATGCTTTATGGGAGGCAATAGAAAATCGTATTCATCTACAACAACTTATAACACAACCCGCTGCAGTGAAAACAATAATGGATACCTGGACTACACAAGCTGGATACCCTGTTGTATCAGTCAATATCGATGACAAAGGCGTACTCCACATTACTCAACAACGCTTTCTTCTAAGAAACTTAAGTAAAACTTCTACAAATGTCACATGGTGGGTGCCGCTTACATGGGCTACACAAACCGAACCAAATTTTAATAATACTCTTACGAAGGATTGGCTGTCCATTGAAAAAGATACTATAGATCTTAAAATTGATCCGAAAGAATGGGTGATATTCAACGTTCAATCATCGGGTTAATAAAACAAATTTATAATTAAACATTTATAATGTTAGATTACATCGAAAAATATTGCAATTAAAATATTATAATTAAATAGTAATCGATTAAATTGTCAAAAATGGAAAGTTAATAGTAAAATAAATATTTTAAATTAAAATATTTTATATCGATAGAAATTGCTTAATAAACAGTTTTAATATTTATTACAGGCTTCTATCGAGTTAATTATAATTATGATGGCTGGCAGCGCATTTTCAATGTCTTAAATAGCGACAAATTCAACGATATTCACGTATTAAATAGAGCCGGAATCATAGACGATTTGTTAAATTTGGGTAGAGCAGGACTCCAAGATTACGAAACAGTTTTGAACGGACTAATGTATCTTAAACAGGAAACGAATTATTTGCCCTTTAAAGCAGCACTCAATGGTTTAGATTATTTGAATAAACGATTTGCAGGACACGAAGAACATTCTTTATTCAAAGTTAGTCTAAATTATTAAGTTATTAAGTTAGTCTAACAATAAGTTATTAAAGATTACATCAAATATATTACGCATAATTAAATACTAAAATATTTACGATCTCTACTGTAATAGTTGTAGATTAAAGTAAAAAAATTTATATAAATTTTAATATAAAAAAGAAATAGCATAAGTGTAATAACAAAACAACTTTTTCTTTCATCCGATAAATGTAGCAAATCTGTAATGCTATTTTATGTTTTTAGGAATACGTTCTGTCTCTTCTGCATGATAATCGCAAAAAATTAGGATACGAAGATAGCGCAAATGATGACAGGTTAACAATTTTATTACGACGAGAGATAAATAATTGGGCCTGCAATTTAGATGACAATGAGTGTATAACAGTTTATATGCAGAAGTTTAAACAGTGGAAAACAAATACTTCTATTTCGTAAGAATATACAAGCGATTATTTTTCTTATGATTTTCATATAATATACAAAATATATATATATATATATATATATATATATATATATAATAAAGTCGAGTATTTAAATTAAATACATTAATAAATGAAATAATCTTAATATTCGACAGTATTAAGCCGAATGAAAGGTCTACAGCATATTGCGTTGCCGCAAGATATGGAACTCATGAAGACTGGGAATTTTTGTGGAAACAATATTTGAATTCCAATTATGTCACCGACCAAACAGTGATTATAAACGCTCTTGGATGCAGCTTGAATATTACCATTTTAGAAAAGTAAGACTTTAAACGTGAAAGTATTCTTCCTTAATATAAAATATTATTACAAAATATAATTAAAGACACATCACTCAATGGAGATAATGAGCATTCTCCTAATATTATTTACGTAACATTTGTTTGATTGATTAACATATGTAAGTCTTAAGAGTAAAATATATTTTAATTAAGTATATTTATATAATGATGAGTTGATAGTTAATTTGTTTGTATAATCAATTATGTGGCATAATATGGTTATGTAGTATAATCATTCACATGGCAAGAAAAGCAGCGCGATTGATTATAGTCATATTTATCGATATAATATTGTATTTAGAAATTAATTATTATTAATTTTATATTCAGGTACTTAGGATATGCCATCAGCGATTACGCAAACAATCGAATTCGTAAACAAGACAGTACAAACGTCTTCGCTGCCGTTTATAATTCTGGTTTGACTGGCGCTGAATATATTCTTGAATTTGTTGAAAAGCATTACAAAGAAATGGAGAAATAGTAAGATCTTTTTATTATATGTATTATATGTATAATACTTTATACAAATGCGTAGAAACAGAATACAAATAATATTCGAGTCACATTTAAAATGGATAAAATGTTAATAATATATTAATACATATCTCACCCATTATATTATATATTTTCTTAAAAATATTTTTGAGCAATGCGATACGAAATGTCGATTAAATAAATAATATCATTAAACGGGTAAAAAGAAAGATGACTTTAAATTGATTTTATAAGTATGCTATTTTTTTAGTTATGGAGGCCAGAGTACAATAGTAACAATTCTCGATGGAGCTTCACAACATTTTTCCACACCTAGATTAGTGGAGAAATTTCAAAATCTCATAAACAAGACAGAATTCGCGCCGATCTTCGAATCTTTAGAGTCTTCTTTAAAAATCGCTAGATACGAATTGGAGTGGTATAAATCCGCTTCGGTTTCTATCATTCGATGGCTACGTGTACAAGAAGGGAGGAAATATCGCCAACAAATATAAGTCCCAAAAAATATGTCATATCCGTTACGCCTTATCTCGACGTAGGAAATTTCACTGTCGACGGACACGTCAAGATTGAAACCGACGTTGTACAACAGACAAAACAAATAGTTTTGCACTCGGCGGAAATTGACCATACGATAATGAATGATTGAAACATTGTAAACATTGTATTATACAATTAAACATTGTATTGTATTATATATATGTTAAAAGAAATGTGTTCCCATTTCTATTTTTAAAAATAAAAAACAAATTACATCAGTATTCAAAGATATATCAAAGTCCTCTCGCGAGTTTCGAAGTTTTTTATTTGTTTTTTTCCATAATGTCCATTGACTCTTTTTTGTTGTACTCATTTGTTACATAATAATTATTATCAGTAAAGATTGCAACGCAAAATAATTTATAATTTTTATCTCTTCTCTTTCGATACAGATGTTCTTTGATAAAGACCTATCATTGCAGTACAATTACTCGTTGATAAAAGTTAATTAACCCGTTGATAAAAGTTAATTAATTATTAATTATCATGAAGGATCATAATAAATTGTTTTTCTATACTTTTCGCGTTTCAAAAAGGAACCTGAAGCGTCTCGCATTACTATTTTCTCCCCCTCGGTACTATCTTGGTATTATTGTTTTTTTATATACAGAAATATTGCATAGCAAGGGGGTAAAATTAGTTAAAGCAATTTTATTGTATAATATGTGAGTAAAATTCTCACAAAATTTCTATTTTCTCATTTATTATGAAATAACTGAATTCAGATTTTGTACACTTGTTACACTTTTTCTATGCAATAACTATATGAAAAGCGTTATATCTTGATTGGGATACTAAATAGTTTTTCCGTTCAATTAGTAGAAAAAAGTCAATATAACTGCTCAATAATCAAAAACTGCATTTAATATCTATCTGGATAAAGCGCGTATTTATATATATATGTATGTATTTGTATATATATATATATATATATATATATATATATATATATAAATATTAAAGTTGAAATTAAAATATTTCAATATTAATAAAAAAACGAAATAATACATACAATAAAATTTGTAAAAATCGATACAATTTTATTTTGTAGCCTTACAATGTGCAATGTTTTCAAAATAAAGCGGTATTATATATTTTTAATCGGTTACTGTCGTGATAAAATACAGACAATCACGAAGAAATAGTCGTATTGCGAATCTTGAATAAATAATCAAAATCTTATCGCACACGAATTATTTAGCAATTTGTAATTAGCAGTTCTGCAGCAAGTATTCATGTACTGAGAATAGAGAACTCTTTGAAATTCTAAGTACATAAAGTATTAAATTATGCTAGATAATATTTGATTATTTAAGCAATATTTGATTTTTTAAGCAATTTTTAAAATATGTATATTTGATCACAATATACATATATATATATATATATATATATATATATATATATAAATCTTTTTATTGTCTTTGTTAATGAGCGATCAAAAATATTTTATTAATTTTAATATCATATATCATATTGGATATTTCAATAGTCGCTATAAGAAAATGCGACTTTCATTAATAGAATAAATCAATTTTTTTCTAATTTTATATATGTATATATATAGAACTAGATTATTACAATAATCAACAATTATAAACATCGAATTAATATATATTTGTTTAATTAGATATAAGTATCTTCGATAATATTCGTGTTAATTATCACTTCATACTAATTTATTGTTTTTTACGAATATATCGTGTTAATTTAATTAAACATATAATTATTTTTATAATTATTTTTATAATTATTTTATAAGTATTTTTCAAAATGACAAGATTATATAAATTGATTTTCAGCTGAATAGTTAACTGAAACACATACAATTTTAGAATTAATAATTTTACGATAAGTTCTTTTTCTTTTATAATATTTACTAATTGTTATTCCAAATATGTATATGTGTTTATCTTTTCTGCTACTCGTTTGAATAGTGAAATTCTTTACTTGTAAATTGATATCTATAATAATAATCATGTGAATAAGATAATTGTATTATAACGAAACGTATGTTATCACACTTTTCCCATTTATGTGTTATCACACTCTTCCCATAGAATACATTTTATAGTCTAACGATATAATCGAGAAAACACACCACGCGGAAAAGCCATTTCACTCCTCGCTATCTTCATAAATATCATTTACATACAAATGCTGATCTTCCTCTCCCGTATATTTACAAATACATACAAAAAACACATAATATTCTCATACAATCCAACCATGTTTCGCAATTTTACTTCATATATCTCCTCTACAATCTATTCCATATGGACGAATTTTCGTCACATCACTTTGATGCTACAGTAAAATTCAACAAAAAATCGACGTGCGCGATATCATTATCACACGAAAGACCGTTTAATTTTTTGTCAAGATCAATTACTACGCGGTGTTCCTCTGTAACCAATCGCGAATTATTGCATGATTGTTATCAATCCATCGTATATTGGCTTCCGCTTGCTCCACTGTTTGTTGTATGGTTCGCCTTGCAGTACCGAGTTCATTTATATGTTCAGTTGCAAATTCCAGAAGCTAGAAAAAATATAATATCATGAAAATGAGAATGTATATCTATTGAAAATTTTCTTATTCTCAAAATATTTCAAAATGCAGCATTGAGAGATTTCTTCATAAATTGTAAATTTAAGCGATGAATGCTGGTCCATAAATTTTTTGAATTTATCAAATAGGAGTTTTAACATTATTATCTTGACTACTCGTAGATTTATTGAATTATTTCTAATATTCAACTTACATCTTTTAATTCGTATCTTGTATTTATTCCTCTAGTTGACGATTTTACGATGTTATTGATGGATAATAATGACGTTCCAAAACTGAAAATAATAAAATATCTGCGTTATATTAAATATTTAACAAATAAGAGAAAAAAAATTGTATTTTCAAATTTGTATTTTAGGAAATCTTATTGCGGTCATGACGTAGAATATATAAAAATATTACTTACTATTCCCTGAGGCGCGTCCATTTGTTTCTAAAGTAATTAAACGCGATCGGTTGACCAATGACGTTACTTGCGACTGATCCAAAAACTCGGGATACATCCTGTTTTCTGATTCCTGAATTTTCTGTAATAGCCCAATCTAAGTATCGATTCAGGAGCCATGTCTCTCTCGTGCAACCCAACGCTTGCAGAAGCAGATCCTTCTCCGATCCTACATTAGTTGCTCGATATCGTTGCCAAGCGAAATCCCATTCAATTTGTCCACCCATTCGAATAGCTGTGCAATAAACTACACCCTTCAAATTCGGTGAGATCCTAAAATACAAAAATTTAATAGCCACAAAAATATAAATAAAAATATAAATATATTAATTGTAAATAATTTCTTTAATTATTCTTTAAAAGTAATATGGAGTTTTTGAAATAATATGATTATATCTTTACATATATTGATAGAAATCACATAACTCATTTGTTCCGATTATCTTTTAATAATAGTAATATGCCGAATGATGTGCAAAGAACTCGATTGATAATCTAGCTTTATCACATGTCGTGATGTTTTCACTTACGGATTGTTGACGTCCGGATTAGGAGTATGACGCCAATTGTTGAATTGTTGAACAGCGTTTCCTACGCAATCTTCATGGCCGAAATTACACGCCCAATTTAAAACATCAATTCGAGTGAAAACAGTCAGTTGAGGATCTCCCATCTTGTCAATGAAACCGACTTGTTTGTACACATTGTCCAATAGTTTTAACACGTACAACTGAAGAATTTATTAACAGTTATAAATTACATATTTCTTGCACATTGCATATTTTATTTATACATCGAATTGCATATAAATTTAGTTTTAGATCACAATTTTATATCTCGTATTGAAAATGTCTTTATAACATAGAATTAATTACATTATTGCATTCAAAAAGATCAACTTATATGTTTTAGAAATAATATATGATTAAAAGCTATAAAAAGAGATATATTATATGTGTATCGAAATAAAATATTAAATCAGAAAATTTTTCAAAAGTTAAACAACTAACAGTTTAAAGCTTTATTGATATATTTTTCGTTAAAATTTTTGTTTAATAAGTATTTACCCTGAATTTATCGTAACCTTGCGTTTTTATGAGCATGTCATTGAGGTAGTTAATGGCACTGAAAGCTGCTTTCCAAGGTAAATATTCTGTTTCGTGAGCCAAATAAGAGGTAACATCAAGAGCAGTGCTGTAGTCGAGATTGCCAGCTCGAGCCAGATTCAGAGCATCATCAATCAACTGTGCTCGATTAATTGTCGAGATGTCTTTGAAATTTTGTTTGTTTAATTGCTTGATTATCATCTGCCAGTTTGTTCTATCATAATTTACTCTGTAGTATCCTGTTTTATAAATATATTACAATGTGATGTGACGCTTGTTTGACGCTGTGTTTCCATAATAGCGGACAAAAAATGGATAAATCTGTTACTTTTTAGAATATTTCAAGAATATCTTGTCTTTTAAAAAGGAGAACTAAAGAGTTTCGTATTTAAATTTACAATTTTCTTTTCGTCAAATTTATTTCGAAATTCATATTATTTACCAGGCAAAAAATTTTGATATTAAAATATTAATCTTATAATTTAATCAAAACTATTTGAAAAGTTATTTTCTTAAAAAATTGAAAATAAATTTTTTATTAAAGATGACTTTGATTTTTATGGCATAAAAATATGATTTTTTATCTAAACATAATATAATTACCAGTTTCTTGCACATTAAAAAGTATCCACTCAGATGAGCTTATACCCAAATCGTTGAGAATAATCGAGTGTTCCGCTTTCATCCATTTCATGGGTTGAGTGTTCTTGAAATTTAATTGCTTCTCACTCGTATAAGTGATGGGTACCCACCATAATGGTTCCAACGAAGATGTAGTAACCTTTGTGGTGCCATTACGAAGCAGAAAGCGTTCCTGCGAGAAACAAATTATTCATGTAATACATTTATAATAAATTACTTAAAACAATTGTCAATTGGAATAATTTTTTGCAACAATATTATATTTTAATATCTTTCACTTACACTTACACTTACACTTATACGTCTTACATTTTATAATTTTTAAAATATTTTTTTAATAATATATATATATATATATATATATATATATATATATTTAACATATCTTATTTCTCAAATAGAAAATAATTATGTGAATCAGACGCGTTATTTTAGAAACTGTTTGTTACCTGCTTATTAATATGTTTTATTCAATTATTATATAATCTGTAAAAACCTGCGTCAACGTTGCACTATTGTTGTTGTAGTTTCGCGTGACAGTGATTACAGGAAAACCGGTTTGTAAGGTCCAAGTATCCATAATCTCTTTAACGGTTACGCTTGGTTCAAGTACCTTGTCTTTGTAAGCTTGCTGAGTCAAAGCATGCCACAAATCATTTTGCTCAGCACTTTGATAAGCTCTATTAAATATACAGAAATAGCAGAAATAGCTCAGTTGTAAAAATTCATTTGCAAAATTTTATATTTATAATATTAAAAGAAAAAAGACAAGAAATATTAATTACCATACATATTTTAAATTATTTTAAATGCAAAAATTATAAAAGATGAAAATATTAATTAATTTTTTTACTCACTTTTCATTCAAATAATTAGTTAAACCTTGTTTAAAGACTTTTGTGGTAAGAAAATGATCCATCATTCTTATTATGGAAGCACCTGAAAAAATTTCGGTAGATATAAATACACTATTATAATTATTAAAATTATTATAGTGCGTGTAGTTCCTCAAGTTACCTTTTCCGTAAGAAATTCTGTCAAAAATTTCATTGATTTCGTCAGGATGGCCAACTTCGATGGATATAGGATGAGAAGATTCCAAAGCATCGAGACCAAACACATTTTGAAGCTCATGGACGACAAATTGCTCCAGGACTTTCCACGACGGTTCTACCTGTTCCAATAAAAAAATATATATATATAATAAATTTATAATTATATGTTTTTATATTAAATAATAAAAGATAAACGTGGCATAATTTTTAAATATGTTCAAAATATTTAACATCAAATTTCTTCAACCGGTATTTTGACAGCATTATATTTGTAGTGCAATGTGTAATTTAGCATTGTTTAAAAACGGATTTTACCGCATCTATACCGATGTATTCAACATAACTGGCGAAACCTTCGTTCAACCAAAGATCTGTCCACCAACTTGGTGTCACTAAATTTCCAAACCACTGATGCGCGAGCTCATGAGATACCACGGTGGCTACCCGCTGCTTATTACTACTGGTCGATATGCCTTCCTGGTATAACATTGCTGTCTCTCTAAATAAACAAAATTACAAATTAACTCTCTGCCGTCTCTTTTAAACATAACATATAATAATAATCAACATAACATATAATAATAATAATAATAATAATAATAATAATAATAATAATAATAATAATAATGTATATATATATAGTAAAAATGTATGTATATATATGTATGTATATATATAGTAAAAATTGTTTTATATTATTTGAATTAATCGTAAGAGAATATTGCGATATCTCCGTATATGAAGAAACATTTAGATTCATAATTTAATTTGTTAAATGCTACTTATTAGTCAATTTCAAATTTAAATAATCATTGATAAATTTTTTATTATAAAAAATATATTTTTATACATAACACATATACATAAAATAATTTCTATTCTTCGAGCAAAATTATAAAAATGTTTACCATATTTTCGCCGTTCATATATTATTACCCTCTCGAATATCATAATCTAACAAATCTAAATATACTAAATAAAGTGATAACTAAAATGATTTTATTTCTTTTTGATATAAATAATTAAATAACATATATAAAAAATACAACTATTTATTATTAATAAATTATTTATTATTAAATATTCCAATAATTTTTATACATTGAAATTTTTTTGGTAATATTTATGAGATAATGGAATTGATAATATACTTTTTATTTCATATAGCAAAATAGATGAATAGAAAAAAAAACGAGGAACATAATATCGCGTTTCAAAAATAATTATAAATATATGTATCTGATATCCTTACCTATAAGTTATTAATCCCCAATTTTCCATAGCACCAGCGGAGAAATCAGGTAATGCAACCATATCCATCTTTGGCAAAGGAAACTTGATCTGGAAATACTCTTCGTAGTATTTGAGAATTTTCGGTCCAATGTTCAAGCTATATTGCGATTGATTAATAGCATCGTGGCGCGCCCAAACTCCAAAGTTACCATCTTCCGATCTCCGTACATCAAAGTCAGAAACTATGAAGGCGACTAAATATGTAGACATTGGTACTGAACGCTCGTAATGATCCCATACATACGTGTGTAAACCGGGCCTGAATGTTAAATAACAAAAATGTTTTTGATAAAATTCTCACTTAAATAAATAACTTTTGTAAGCAATTTTTCAAAATTAACGCTTTATAAAAAAATTTATTTATTTCTCTTTATGTATTTCTCATCCTACACATATTATGAATTACTTTGTTAATTGTTCTTATTTTTGTTTAATTAATAGAAGTAAAATTTTGTAATTTAAATAATAAAAGTATAAATATTTTTGTAATTAAGTTTTGTCAAGATATATCAGTCTGTACAATAAATAAACTATTTCGAATTAAATTTTATATTCTGTATGCTTTGTGCTAAACAGAAATCTGAAATAGAACAAGAAAATTCATACGTGCGGAATCATGCAAGAAAATCATATCTGAAAGATGTAGATTTGCATCGAATCTGTAATACGAAATGCTGCAATATAGTGTCATGTATAACAGTATGGCATGCACAATTACTCACACTGGCATCGGTGCTCCTTCCATGGGCATATTCGAAATAGATGTCATGTTTTTGGGACGTGCTATGTTGATTTGGAACTTGGCTTTCAAAGCCGGCTCATCGAAGCACGGAAAAGCACGGCGCGCATCCGTTGCTTGGAACTGAGTCGTGGCGATCCATCTATAATGCAGAACAGAGATACCTTTGGCAAACAGCCGACAGCAGTCCTTGTTTGAGCTCACGTAAGCCAAATACGCGATCGCAACGCGAGATATTCAAAGGATAATCACTCCTTTTAGATTAACAAAAATATTTCGCGTTGATAAACATGATCATGATAATGTTAAAAATTGAAAACTTCAACGTAAGTTTTGCAAACTTGGAGAAAGTAATTCAAATTTTATGTCTCCCGGACGCTCACATTCGCTTATATAATATAGTAATATAATATAGCTTTGTCTTAATTAAATTTTCTCTATTTTGTTATAGTTTATGTTTAGAATTCAATAATAAATAAAATAATTTTGCGTATCAAAATGTTTGCTCAAGATGTAATTCCACATTTAACTGAACGAAAAGTAGAAACAATTCTAAATTTATATCGTCTATAAAAATTCCATCACGGTGCCACTTACCTTGTCTGATTGTCGGCCATGTACGAGCTTCTGTAAAAACCTTGCAGATAATCGTTCAGATAGCCAATGAACTTGAGCTGCACCATGTATTGTTTGCCTCTGCTCAACGTGTCCGACGTTTTAATCACGAGAAATTGCCTGTCGGTGTCGTTTCTCTGCTCCACGATCCTGATTATCTTGTTAGTCTTGTTGCTATTGGCAGAGTATTCCCTGATATTTGTAAAGCCTTCATCAATCTTCATGTCCGCTGCATGAAGTGTGACATTGTTCGTATCTAACGTCACATTCACCAAAATCTTGACCTAAATATGAGATAATATGATAAATAAAAAATGTTTCTATTTTTTTTTATATAAAATAATTTTTTTATATTAAGTAGCTTTTATAAAATAATATGTATATTTCTTCAATTTTCTTCAAAATCTGAGATACTGAATTTTTAATCAAGTTTTAAATTTTTGTTTCATTAGTACGATATTATAGTTCATTACATTTTTAGATTTCAAAGTAACATTCTGTATGATTCCAAAATATTTAAACATTTCTCATTAGCAATATCGAGAGCTGAAAACAAACGGTACAGAAGAAAGTGAAAAGAACGAAAAAGAAACTTGACGGGAAGTTAAGCTTGAAACGCACGTGACTTGTGTGTCCATACATATAGATCTCTATAGATTCGATATATGAAAGTGAACGGTTGTCAATCGCTACTACGTGCGTTTCTTTATGTGTCGGTTTATCTACAGAATTAAGAATTAAGTAAAAAACATTATGTAAAAAAACATTATGATTCACTATAGAAAGCTGACATATATAATAGCACATTAAACCAGTTTGTCCACCAAAACCACGTGAAGAAATCTCACAAAAAAAGGAAATACTTTGGAAAATGCCGAAATATTTACAATTGCTTATTAAATATGATAATCAATCGCTAATTAAACATGGATATTCAATTGACATGATTTTATAAAATAAATTACAGAAAGTATTGCTATAAAAATTTTTAATAAATTAGAAGAGTCAAACTTAAGTTTGCATTTTTCTTATTCCTTCGCTATTATTTTATATTAATTTTATATAAATAAAAGAAAAAGAAAAAAAAAAAATATATATATATATATATATATATTACTATAATAGATAATAATTTTTATTTACTTTTTTACTTATTTATATATTTTATTTACAAAAATATAAATATGTATAAATTATAAGTTAAATTCTAAAATAAAAGAAACATAAATAATGTTATATAAAAAGATTTCTAATGACATGTTTAGAAATCTTTTCACTTGTTATGAAATATATTCCGAAATTGAAAAATGTTACCTCGCCGTGAAAGGTGAAGTTACCCTCCCATATGAAGGGTATCAGCCATAATTGGTATGAATCGGGTACAACTGCCTTTGGTAATCTAACATCTATTTTCTTCTTTATAGGGGTTGATGAAAAACCCTTTCCGCTCGGCAAAAGTGAATTGTCAAAAAAGTCGTCACATTGGTTGACTTGTTTTTCCGTGAGACAAGGCGCAAAATGATACACCAACAAACCGGTGACAACCAGACTAATCAGAAAAAATGCTCCCAAGAAGAAGACACCACACCGGGAAATTGTACAACCTTTCTTGCGTCCGAACGTAGTTGTGTGCGCATCCATCATCGCCAGTACCTCGCGGGACTGAGTCATATCATGTGTGAACCTAAAAAGAAAAAAGTATATGCATTTTTCAGTCTTCTTCCTCCAATTTATGTTAATTATTGCGATAAATGTACATTATCTTTTTTCATATCTACATTTAGTTATCTGCTCTATTAGTTACATTTCAAAATTACTAATGCATTTTAATAACAACAAGTATAATAGCGCAAATTTTTATTGTTTTTATAATTTTTAACAATATGATTTTTATGTCAATGGAAAGTAATTTCTTAAATTTAAATTTTCATTGTATCTTTAAAAAGAGAGGAAAAGAAAATCATTCACTCAAAAGAGATTCAAAGATATATTGTATTATTAAAATTGTAAAATAAGAGTAATAAAGTAATTGTAATAAAGAGCAATCTTTAGTAAATGTTTGAGGTATAAAATTTTGTTTTAAACATTTAATTAAAAGTTGTACAATTAAAAAATGAAATAATATAGATTTTACTTATTTACTTCTTTTGAAATCTTATTATTTACTTAAATGTTTGTTTATAATTCCTCGAAATTATATTATCATTTTATTAATTAATGTTAAATACTAAAGAGAACTACAACAGTAATCTTTTTCGATTCTTTGCTATATACAGGCGTAAATTTTTTGAAGATTTCTCGTTATTAAAGTCAAGATCAAAAATTCCAAGATTTCTATATATACTCTGTGTATAGAATTGAAATTCTCCTTTACACTTATTTACATGTATATATATATATATGGAAATTATAAATTCGAATTACAATATCGAATATAACATATAATATCATCGTAAACATTACTATTGAAGGTCGCATACATATATTTGTTTATATTAATTTGAAAATAGCAGATAATGTACGAATCTTCGAAAACGATAGAATAATAGGAAGATTCAATCACTTTAAATTTATATCTAAAATTTAAATTTATATCTGAAGATTTACATGTTATATCTGTTGTTATCTTTATTTTTTTATCAAATAAAGAGAAAGAGAAAGAGAAAAAGAGAAAATAAAAATGTAAAATGATTGAAAAGTGAAAATATCATGATATAAATATTTAATACAGCATTTGATAAGATAATCTATAAAATATTTTATACTACATATATTTTAATACTACCTAGAACAGTACGCTAAAACAATACACAGAAATTGGCCAAAATGCATTTGTAAAGATAACACACATATAATTACCGATACAAAGATAAGCCTCACATTTAAAAAATGCTACGTGTATTCATTTCTATGTCCACAATATTTATCTATTTCTGTAAAATTGTAAAAATGTACAGAAGTTATGTTCAAAATGGTTTATAAAACATCAATATAATTTAAATATTTATTTAATATTTTTCTAATATTGATATAGAATTATAATATTGATATAGAATACGTGCGCATAATGTGTTTGTATAGAATTTCCCACTAGGTCAAAACAGTACATATATACATTTAGACAGTAGATCTGTTTTAGCTGTTTACAGCTGAAGAAAAATATTATAATATCATATATTTATATTAAAAATTAATCAGGATAGAGATGTGTAAAAAAAGTAGACTGAATAATTGAAACACAATTTGACATTTTGACATTTTGACTAGTTGATATATATAAATACATCATTTAAATTTTGAAATTGTGGAAAAGTATTTGAATTTTATGATAATCATAAACGCATCAAAACAAGAACAACAATTTTCGCGAGATCATTGTACATAAAAAATTTTATATCTCGCGTAAATCGGGTGAAGGCAACCAATCATTGAAAGTAATTTCACGTTCCAAACGTTTGGAGTGAGCGTGTCAAGGAAACGCGAATGGCATGCCTGAATTGATGTAAGGTTCTTGCACCGGCGTGAAATAATCTTACACGCATAACACAACTTTGCATTCTAACCGAGACAACGATTTAACTTGAATAAAAGATGACTATTACGCGAATTGATGCTGCATAAATGAAATAAAATTGACAAAAATTTCCTTCATGAAAATGTCCTCTAATATAACTCTCCTTGAATATTACAAGTAATTATAGATAATAGAAAGAGACATATTTCCATATTACAAAACAAAAATAATCAGTTTTTGCTTATGTAAACAAAATTCATAAATTGATGTCTAATTGTATGGGTATGTGTATACGTTTGTGTGTGTGTGCGTGTGTGTGTGTCTGTACACACACACACACACTCACACACACATACACACTAGGACATTTCAATAAATAAGATACTAAATTCCTATCATGAGAAAACAGTTTTATTTATTAAAATGCCCTTGTATATATACAAAATATAACAATATAGATTGCACTTACATATTTGTATCTATTTGCCATAATTATATAAATAAAATAAAGCACTTTCTCACGCGCGTTGTCTAATTTATTCGTTTGAATTTAAATAAAGAAATACTATGCCAAATTCAGCAAACACTTTATATCACGAATCGTCAAGAGAGAGATAAATACTTGGGCACATGTTTCCCACCTGTCGACGGTTTACTTTCTACCTGTAAATTATTGGTCAATAAATTACTTGCATTTCCTCGTTAAAAACGACCGCTGAATAATCAATCATGCAACTTTTGCGTCACAAAATATACAATATAAGAAGTTTGTGATAATATTAGTCTGTGATAGTATAGTTTTTTTGTATTGCAATTAACTGTAATGAACATCATATATACATCTCATATTATTGATAAGATTTATATCCGCATTTATACTGCTAACAATAAGACAAAAAAATTGATTGCAAATTTCCTGGAATCTCGGGCTTCATTATGATCATAGATTAAAGGAATCTTGCAAGAAAAGTCTTCTTGTCGTTTTCTCAATTACATATTCTCATATTTTCTATTTTATCAATCCAATATTATTCAAAATTACTCATTTCATGAAATAAGCATTTCGCGAAAAGCATTACACATTTTTAAAACATTTTTAAAACATTTTTAAACATTCCCGGTTTATTTTTAGGGAATGTATAAAAATTGATAAACATGAAGCAAATGTGAATTTTATAGCATTTAATTCTTGTGCAAAATTATAACATTGTTCGATTTATCTTCTTATTAGGAAAATTATCTTTTAATTAAATTCTATTGATTTCAATAAATCAACATTGAAGTACAATACGAGCATATAAGCACCAGTTAAAATGTCTTACATCATTCGTTTGAAGGATCTAAACAACTTACTTTAAGAAAACCATATTCACTTCAACTCTAAATGATTCAGAACTCAAAAGCTACTGTTAAAACAGCTAATATTCCATTGCCATCTTTCCTCAAATAAGTATTAGTCATACTGTATGTGTGTGTCTGTGTGTGTGTGTGTGTGTGTGTGTGTGTATGTGTGTGTGTGAAAAGTACTTCTCGTACATCGATATTTACGTTACAATAATAATGACACAATCATACATAAGATTCCAACTAGATATCGAGAGATTTCTTTGTACAATCATATCAATGCTAATTTAAATCGATCTAAATTTTCTCGAAAGCAAATATTAAATTTTTTAGATCATACGCTAATAAAATCGATCGATAAATCGCGATCTTAAATTTCGCTTAAATCCGAACAGTGAACTCACACAATAAATATCTATCGTATCCGGGACTGCTTTTTTTTCATGACACGTCGTACCATCAAATTCCGGTCAGAGAACAGGATCACCATCGGCAGACAGCGAGAACACTCCACTCCGCTCGATGGTTCGCGCGCAACTGCCAAGGAATATCGAAGCGACGATACAGCTTCGTCTCTTCCTTCTCCTGGTCAATCGGGTTTCCTGGTCGCCGCCCCGATCGGGGCTTCTACATGTAATATCCTTCCATCTGCCGGATGGATCACCTGCGTGCCATATCTTCCGTATCATCATGCGAACATATCGTGCAATCGATTTTCGTACTATGAGTGACGTAACATAACAATCGATAGAGATATTTACATCTTTTGAATGCACTTCGAATTGCTTTCTTTTTAAAGAATTTGTTTTGGTTTCTAATCTAGGATGACCTGATTTTCGCTTCTCTCTGCGGATTTTTCTATCAAATTCAAAAGTCAATCTTTCCTAATAATTATTTGATTAGACACCATTCTTTTTATATTCATATTTTTCTTTATGTAACGTGGAATTTTCTCAAAGCGAAATCTTAAATTAGAATTCTATTGCAATAAAGAAAATTATCAAAATTAACAAAATTTAACAAAAACTTAGCCATTTTGTAAACACTAAACACTTCTCATTAGATTCTTTATTCATTTTTAAAATAAAATATTTTTTAATATCTTATTATTTTCTACTTTCTAAAAATAAAGATAAAATTATATTCACTTTACAAAAATATAAATTTTACATTTCTTATTAAAATAACTTGAAAAAAGACTTGTTAATTTTAAAGAAAATAATACTTATAATAATGGTCTTGATATTTATATAATATTTTTGTATTTCCTATTTATGAACAAATTGCACTGCATGTGTGTGTTTATTATGTAAATGATTATGTATCAATAATTATACATATTGCTATATGATCGTATTATATCATTATTCGCTTTAACTAAAGAGATCTCATGTTAAAAAATATCACTAATCTGAATGTATCAAATGAAAACTTATTGAAATATTAAATGAATAGCGCAGTATTTGCAATAATCAATTTGTTATCAAGACAATGAAAAATAATGACGCAAGTACTATGTTGATTTCCTTGAAAAAGTAATCTTGTTTCATGTAGCATTTTCAAGCTATCTATTGTGCATTTATTACGCTATAGTGTTTCACACTATGTTAATGCAATAATTGATGTACACGTAACTATCCGTGTATATACATAATACGTACAATAAAATTATTGTATGTAAGAGTAATATAGAATAGTAGTATACAATCTCACACTTTTGAACAAATAAAGTATAGTAATATAAAATCTTTTTTTTTTTGAAAAAGTAAAAAAAATTTTAAAGAATAAAATACTATATTTAACTTTAAAAAATGCCTTTTTCTGGAAATTCAAATTTTATTATACTTTTCAAGATATATATGCGCTTTCTCCTTAGCTATGTAAACTATAATCCCCTATAAGTGAGTATAATTTGCAGATACAACTGTAATCAACGTAGTATTTGCAATAAGATTCATCAGGGGCGAAAATAAGATCAAAGACATAAGCACTTTTTTATGTAAACATTACATTGCGTACCTGGCGAATTTAAGGGCACAAGAAAACGAGCACGAAATTAGGAAAATTATATCGATATTGTGTAAAATTTATATGTCATTGACAAGGTTGTTTCTTTTAACTTTAAAGAACTTCATTACAAGAACAAGAACCTTTTTTATACAATGTCACGAAACTATTATCTATGAATCTTATAAACAAAGAATTTACCAAATCGAAGAAAAAATATAAAATAATTAAACAAACGTAATTACGAAAATAAAAAATGGAAAGAAAAATCGCAAAATTTGAAACGTACTATATCAATATTAATATTAAAAACCGCAAACATCAATGTTGCGAAACAATTTAAAACTGTGTATGAAAGACCAATACTATGAAGCCGCTAAAACCGCAAAAAATCTAAATACATTCGTATAATAAGATGAATTCGAAGAAAAATGATTAGATTCAAGTTACATTATATTATATATACATATATTATATTATATTATATTATATATATTTTCAAATAATTTATTTTAATTCCTGTCTCTAATCAAAGAAAGAATTGAAAAGAGAGAGAAGAATTGTAGCAAAAATTGTTTTTAATTCTTCATAAAACACTTTGCAATTAAAGAAATTGTTTTATTAATATATCTATATATATTATATATATATATATATATATATATATATATATATATTAAAGATCTTTGTGTATCTTTGTAATATATCTAGACTGTATTATATACATATTTCAATTTTTCATTATTTACATACATGTATAATTATCATGCATCAATAATAATGAAAAGATTTATGTTTTTAAGTTGTACATATTTACATATTATCACAACTCTGATAAAAATTTTGAACAGTTTGTAATGTTCTACTTTTCTCATAAATATCACAATATTTTATGAACATTTGTAAAGAACACAAATGCATCTACGTAAATGTTTAAAATAATTGATGTCATGTAATTATCTCATCATAGTGATATAGACATAGTAAACTATTCTTTTGATTACATCATATTGAGCATTTTCTTGATTTATTTTACGATAATATTACATTTCACTCTTTCATGAAAAAGGAACCTTCACAAAGAGATGAATACTAAACAAATCGAGTCATTGTTAAAGATAAAAGTAGAAAAGAAAATATTTCTCTGAATCAACAGGACTAATTTAATATTTAATTTTATTTTTGCATTTGTAATATTGCAATTTATGTAATATTGTATCTGAGATTTTTGGATTAATACTTTATTTTGGATTAATACTTCATAATTTCCAGATGAAATCTTCGAAGAAATGTCAATGACAGAGTGTTTCTCAGAGACTAACATTATGGAAGAGAGTATCAAAACGAGAATATGGATGTATTTTTTAAATATAATGAGATTACGAATAAGAAACATGAATCTTTACATCATTTTCTAGTGTATTTCTACACTTTAATACTTCATTATATAAAGTTACATCAAATTTGGATTTTTTCGAAGTAGACGCATCTACATATTTGTGTATCATAATTCAGAATTGTTTGACATCTTTAAATGATTGATGATGTATGAATTAAATGAAACAAAAAGAAACAATAACTCATATTACATAATAAGTAAACTTTAAAATAATTTCTTGCTAATGGTAAAATGATCTATAAATATTTACATATATACGTTGCATTCGCCCCGAAATGTTAAAATTTGACGCAAATTTATATCTTAAAGCATTAATACACCTGTACATTCATGTGAATTCATGGTACATAAATATTTTTAAATAAGATTAATGAAGAAATATCTTTTGATACACCTATAATATTACTTGCAGAGAATATCGAATTGAAACCTTATATGCTACAAATATTTTTAACATAAATTATATATTAAAACCAAATTATTCCACAGATTTCAAAAGAATGATTGATGTTTTTTTTTATTTTAATAGTGTGATAAGCATACAAAAATATTTTATATTCCTCTTCTTGGAATAAAAAGGATAAAATTCTATCCTTAGGTAAAGATAATTTCGATTTAATGATCAAAAAGAAAATATTCGACAGGACATATAAACCGCATGAAAATATAGATCATATAAATTGTTTTGATTGTAAGTCAGTTATATCAATTAGAATTTCTTTGATTTCTCTTTAAATTTTCATTTGGTTTTTCACAGAGTTCAGAAGCTAAAAAGATAAAAACATCTCTGAATAGAAATCTAGAGAACGGAACTGAGAAAGCAGAACTAAAAAAGGTCCAGTTCAAACAGGCAGAACTGTTAACACAAATAGGAATAACAGACGCCATAGGTATCATTTACTATATTTATGAATACAATATCATTTGTATCATGTAATTGGATGTCTGTTAAATTTAATATGTTTCTTGGTTTTCAGCATACATGAATACAATATCATTTGTATCATGTAATTGGATGTCTGTTAAATTTAATATGTTTCTTGGTTTTCAGCTTGGTTTTCTTGGTTTTCAGCTATTTTTGAAATAAATAGATAAGAAAAATGGATAAGAAAAAAATAAAACAAAGACAAACAAATATGGACAATAATATCGCGGAGATTAAGCAATTTTTACTTTCTAGAACAGAGACTTTAACATATCCTCAAGATTTACCAAAGCTATAAATTTATACTGATTCAAGACACTTAGAAGAAAAAATAAATCGAAAAGAAATATAGAGAGGAAGACTATATTGCAAAAAAAATATAATCATTTTAATTATTAAGTATTTTCTGTTTTTTATTAATATAGTCACATCTTTTTCAGATCAAGAAACAGTGTCTAACTGTTAGAGAATAATAAAGTTAAAGGATAATAAAGAATGAAAACTAAGCGAGTGATGGAAAAATTAATGTCCAATCATGTTTCTTTTACAGTTAGCAGGAAAGTAGTAGAAAAAAAAATGTATTTAAAAGTACTGTTATAATAGAGATTGTAACCTGTAAGTATCTTTTAACTCTGTTATATTCTATTCCGAGTAGAGTGAATACGAAGACTGTTTTTTAGAAGTCTTCTGCAGTTGCAATAAAGAAACTTCATTGTAATATCTTAAATTTTTTTATATGTCTATTTTATTTTTAAGCAAGTTATATATTTGTCTTAATAAAGAACATCTAGTTATAAATAAATAAATATATATATATATATATATATACATATATATATGGCTGGTATCACATCGAATCAGACAAGTCTTAGTCAAACATTTTTTAAATAAAAAAATTTAAGATAATTTTTTTGTCTAAAATTTTTTTTTTATTGAGACAGTCTTGTCTAATCTATGATGTGATTCTAGCTTATGTTTTATTTCTGTGAGATAAAAATTTGTTTTCAAAAAATTTTGCACAAACATTTTATGACAACGTTTGTCAAAACGTTTGCGATAACTGATGAGTAAATATTTGACCAGATGAACATTTGCATGTTTTATAAACGTTACAATTCAAACGTTTTTGAAACACTTGTACAACTTTATGTGTTGGCGATTATTATTATGGTGAAAATTATTTTATCATCAAGAAATTAAGATTAATCTTGTTTAACGACAAATTACACATAGCAGAAACAACCCCTTTAATCTGTCAATCGAAAATCGATAAATTAAGTGATCGCGTGGATCAATTCGGTAAGTACCT